AAGAGAGGCCAAGAAAAAGCGTGACATGGCTGAGCTGGCACGCTTGAAGCGGAACCTTCCAGCGATTGGTGTTGCTGAGCAAACCGCTGAACAAGGTTCTGGTCTGAATGGTATTGGAATCAAAGGAAAGGATCACACTCCTGCTGATAGTATGATGGTATCATCTGGGTCGGAATCCGAGTCTGAAAGCGAAGACGAGCTTGAGAAGGAACTGTTTGGCGCGAAAGCCAGCTCAAAGCCTGATGCGGTCAAGGCATACGAGGAGAGTAAGCGAATGTCGCTGAAACAGAAGGGTCCAGTCAAGAAAGTTAAGCAAGTACGCTCTGCAAAAGATATGCGAGCACGGCTTGCACCGGACCTGTCATCCCTGCACCGTACACTTCTGGCCTGGGACTTCTTTGCAAACGGCGATCTTCCACCAAACTCGGGACGTACTGACTACAGCCTGGTCTCCAATGCCTTTAGAGATCCTATTGAGTACCAGAGGACATTTGAGCCACTGCTCATACTGGAAGCCTGGCAGGGATTCCAATCTTCGAAAGAAGAGGGTAACTTCAAGCCATTTGAGGTGAAGGTTGCCACGAGACTGTCTGTGGACTCATTTGTAGAGGTCAGTACGTCCATACCGGCTTCCGAAGCCAAGGATTATGGACTTGGTGAAGCGGATATTGTCCTGCTTTCTAAAGCCAAATCTCCAACCGTTGATTCTTCCGCGCCCCATTGCCTGGCCAGAGTCTCCAACATCAACAGGAAGAAGGGAATGGCCGAGATTTCCTACAGAGTCAACCCGGGTAACCCTTTCATCAATTCCCTTGGACCTGGTGCCATGATTTATGGTGCGAAAATCACCTCTTTAACCCCACTTGAACGTGAATATGGTGCACTGATGGCTTTGCAATATTACGATCTTTGCGATGAGGTCGTAAGGGCAAAGCCGTCTCCAATTCTAAACTACTCGGATGCCACCCTCAAACCCATCGCAGAAAACTATAACGTCAATTCGGCCCAGGCTAAAGCAATCAAGTCTGCGTTAGACAATGATGCGTTCACTTTGATTCAAGGGCCTCCGGGATCCGGAAAAACAAAAACAATCGTTGCACTCGTTGGTGCGATATTGAGTGGCGTTCTGGGTACCAACCAAGGAGTGTCCATCTCACGACCGATGGGCAACGTTAAACCTCCCAGTGGGAGGGCAACCACGTCGAAGAAGCTGTTAGTGTGTGCTCCCAGTAATGCTGCTGTCGATGAATTGGTTATGCGATTCAAGGAAGGCGTCAAAACGATACACGGCCGCCAGGAGAAGCTGTCTGTCATTCGATTAGGAAGAAGTGATGCTATCAATACCAATGTCCTGGATGTTACCCTGGATGAGTTGGTGAACGCACGGCTGAATGAAACGTCTCGCAAGGATACTGGCGAACAAAACATGCAGAAAATTTACATGGAACACAAAGCTGCCGACACCGCTTTCAAGGAGACTCGTTTCAAGATGGACCAGTGCAGAGCACAAGGGTTACCCGTTCCGGCAGAATTGGAACGGGAGTTCGACTTGTGGAAGAAAAAGAAGACACAGCTGAGTCAGGAAATCGATAACGCCAGAGACAAGAATCACACAGCAGCGCGTGATGCTGAATTGAACAGACGGCGCATCCAGCAGGATATTATTGACGGCGCTCATGTCATCTGCGCGACCCTCAGTGGTAGTGGACATGAAATGTTCCAGAACCTGAGTATTGAGTTTGAGACCGTGGTCATCGACGAGGCGGCACAATCGATTGAATTGAGCGCCCTGATTCCCCTGAAGTACGGGTGCTCCAAATGTATCCTTGTCGGTGACCCAAAGCAATTGCCGCCTACCGTCCTATCCAAGGTCGCCTCGAAGTTCCAGTACGAGCAAAGTCTGTTCGTCAGAATGCAGTCCAATCACCCTAGGGATGTGCACTTACTGGATATCCAATATCGAATGCACCCGGAAATCAGTGTCTTCCCCAGCAATACATTCTACGATGGCAAGCTACAAGATGGCCCTGACATGGCTCGACTTCGCGCACGCCCATGGCATCAAAGCCAACTTCTCAGCCCCTACCGCTTTTTCGATGTACAAGGGCTTCATCACAGTGCTGCGAAGGGCCATTCTTTGGTCAACTTAGCGGAACTTAGGGTGGCCATGCAGCTATATGAACGTCTGGTGACCGATTTCCGAGAGTTCGATTTCAAGAGAAAGATTGGTATCATTACACCGTACAAGGGCCAATTGAGAGAGTTGAAGACACAGTTTGTCGCCAGATACGGCGAGTCAATCTTGAATATGGTTGATTTTAACACAACGGATGCCTTCCAAGGACGAGAGAGTGAAGTCATCATTTTCTCTTGTGTCCGGGCTTCCAACAAAGGCATCGGTTTCTTGTCTGACATTCGCCGTATGAACGTCGGTCTGACACGTGCCAAGTCCTCTCTTTGGGTGCTTGGAAACTCCCAGTCTTTGGTACAAGGGGAATTCTGGAACAGCCTTATCAAAGATGCCCGTCGAAGAAATGTATATACGGATGGTGATGTTCTCAATATCCTCCAGCGGCCACAATTCACTGGCTACAAGAATATTGAGATGTCGGACGTGACTGCACCGGAGTCAGCGCCGTCCAGACCTTCATCCGCTGCAGCTATCTCTAGACCCTCTTCAGCATCCCCCGATAACCTTCCATCGGATTCCCCGCTTTCTGTATCCGCCTCTGGAAAAGGGACTCCGCCGATTCCTGTACCGGATGGACCATCAGGCGGCGCCAATGGCCTGGACGAGACCCGCATGTGTGGGTACTGCGGAAGCTTCGAGCATTTCACGCACAAGTGCGACAATATTGATGCCAAGGAGGCAACCAAGGGCACCTGCTACAGATGCGGAGAATCTGGACATACGCGAAATTTCTGCCCGGCCCAGAGGTGTGTGGATTGCGGGAAATTCGGACACGTCTCACGCAATTGCCAATCGGCGAAGACGCTGCCCAAACATGAGAAGTCCAAAATTGCGCGCGAAGAGTACCACCACACCCAGAACCAGAAGCAAAGAACAGAACGCCAGCGAGCCAGACAGCTTGGAGGTCACGATCCTAAGGTGCCCGTTGTCCAGGCTACTAGCGAAATGCCGGCGGCCGATGGCAAAAAGCCAGGCCAGGCCAAATTCGACGATAGCAATGGCCCTGGAAAACGGAAGCGCACGAACTCGCCACCAGTCGATGCTTCCAAGGCTTCGCGGCCGCGGAAAGATGACTTGAATGCCCCTCCTCCCAATGCCCCCAAAGGCCCCAAAGGCCCGCGACGCAAGTTTGATACTAATATTCCTGCAAATGCGGATGTAAGAAGCCCTTTTCTTTGCAACTTCTGTTGACTTGGGATGCTAATTGACTGCTATTGTAGGGTTTGGTGCGACCATCACGGGAAGGCCCAGCGTATGCCCCTCTCAACACCGACACATCCTCCAATGGACCTCGACCGGGTCAGGGACCCACAGATGTATGGTTTATCACGGCACTATCCGCTGCCTGTTCGTTTAACGCACCGTGTACTGACCTGCTTGCCTATACAGCCCCACGCACGTCCTGGACCAAGACCCGGCAATGGCGCCAGACCTCCCCCAATGCGCAAGAAGAAGCAGGCCGACCCGTTCATTAGGCCAAAACGGAGATAGATAAAGCGGTGTCTACATACTTCGTACCTAATCTGATGTGCCTCATCGCCATCGGGCATATCTTGCGAGCTCGCTGAATTCCACAAGACCCATCACGCTTGTGATGGGTCCAATAACAGACAGCGTGGTGCGCTGATCCTTTTTCATGCATATGAGCGAGCATCGAACGACCCTCCCAGCGCCGTTTTCTTCCTTTTCATTCTGCACACCTGACTTCTGTATTATTTTGCCTCTACATCCATCATCATCCCTTTGGGCCATCTTCACCATGTACACTTTCTTTTTAGGGTTAAGGTTCCGAGTCCGGTGGACGGTCTCGAAGAAATCAAGCATTCCGTGGCGTTTTGATACTTGGGGGGTGTCTTCTACCATGTCTTTCTATTGACAGACATCTTTTTCCGCGCTGGACATGTGGTTATGGGTTGTGGTTGTGGGTATGGGTGTGGGTGTGGGTGTGGGTGGCTGGCAGATCTACGCTTGATCCGCAACGCAACGCCTTTCCAGAGGAGTGGCACCTCGGACTTGGTTATTACTTTCCTTCCTTTCCAGAATAGACGAGATCTTCGCTTGTGGTGGGAAGGGGAGAGAAGGTCTCTAGACAGACGAGAGATGATCGCGAGGTTCTGACCCATGACCATGGTCATGGTCATGATCGAGGATGGGCCCGAACTACCTATCTATTTGCTTGTTTCTGGTAGCACCGGCGCGTATCAATGTGAGCTGGCAGCGGACTTGCTTGCCAACTGCAGGTGCATTGGGGGCGGCTGAACTCTCCTAGGGCAATCCCATACTGCATGACATGACATGACATGACATGACATGAGCGATGGGCGATGAGCGATGAGCGATGAGCTCATGCGTCTAGGAGATCTCGATTGCATTCCGATCTGGTTCCCAGGGGCTCGCTCATCTCTGGCCTTCGAAACGGGACGCGCAAGATAGGACTGGATAGATAGACCGCAACTGCAGTTGCGATGGTCCCTTCCTACGGTACCTACCTACGTGCATACGTACGTACCTACCTACCTACCTACCCAGTCTCTTGCACGGACACAGATCCTCCTCATCGACGCATGCATCGCCCCCATCCCGCAATAGGTCGCAGGAACGACAGTAGGCAGGCACTTACATACGCGGACATGTCGACTGCCCCGACTGTTCGGTTCGTCTATAGATCCAATTCTCAGTCCCGTCCCCATAGCCGAGATCAGGACGGGAGTCGTGGTGTGTGTCTGCCTGCCTGTCTGGTGGATCTCCACGATCACCTACCTACCTACCTATGAAGTACCTACATCCATACGTACCGGTAGATACATAGATAGTGAGACGGCTGAAGAATAACTCTCGGTCGGCTATTGCCCTCGTACCGTACATAGGAGGAGTTCGTTGCCGTCCCGTCCGGTTTCCTGGAGCCCGAAAATAGGGCCGTCGCTGTCATTCGACCACCATCGCTGATACCTGGTATACCTAAAGTAGGTACAGTACAGTAGTGAAGGAGCGAGCGTCATGATCATGGCCATGGCCATGGCCATAGCCACCCACCCACCCACCATGCAGCTGTCCACATTGCAGCTGTACGATCGGAGAATTGTTCGGACACGGACTGTGTCACCCAGCAGCAGCAGATAGCAGTAGGCAGTTCGGATCGCGAATAAGCGATGGTTGGTTGGTCCCTGAGAACCAAAGGAACAAAAACAAAAAAAAAAAGGGACGTTGTTGCATTGGCTTTGCATGAACTATCGGCTGCAAGGGAGGCGACGCTAGTTGGATCTATCTGCCCTCCTGGATGACTGACCCCTTCTTCATTCGGTGCGGTGCCCAATCTCAATATTGTCTGGTCATCGATTTGGTTTTTTTTTTGGGGGGGGGGGGGGGGGGTTATTTTTATTTATGTTTGATTTATTTCTCCGCGTCTAGATAGATAGATAGGTAGGTACTTAGGTACCTAGTAAGTAGGTACATACTGAGGTACCTACTGGATAAGTAAGTAGTAAGTAAGTACTATAGCTGTATATACATACGGAGTACTCCGTTTTATCGGCTATTTACCCCCTTCTGTTACATCGAGAAGATGCAAACTAAGCAAGCAAGCAAGCAAGCAAGCAAGCAAACCTGCAGCCCAGCCCAGCCTCAGCCTGTCTTCATTCCAACCACACGAGATCGATGCTGTAAATTAGGCTATGTATAGGGGCAGGGGGATCCCTTGACGAGCCAGCCAGTTGGAACCAACAAGCCCTTTCGTCGTCCTTTTGTTTGTGTTTTTGGCTTTTCTCTCAACGATAGTCCTTCTGTTATGTTAAGGAGAGACGGGGGGAATGCTTGTTTGTGCGGTGACGTTGGAAGGGGGGGGGGGGGAGACTAACTATTAATATCCATCCATCCCTCGAGCACCACTTAATTGACTGACTGACTGACTGACAGTGGTGGTCTGTGTTCGGAAATTGAAAATAGAACCCGAAGCTTTTCTTAATAATCGGTAGTTTTATTGCCGAGGGAGTTCCCCATTGTTACTTGTAGGTTCGTCGGGCTGCTGCATGGCTGGCAAGGGCGTCGCTTGGTATGGAGGGAGAGTGTGTGTATGTTCGAGGGAGAGAGAGAGGAAGAGAGAGAGAGAAAGAAAGAAAGAAAGAAAGAAAGAAAGGAATTAAGACTAAGACCAGAAGACAATTGCATCGATGCAGTGCAGTGCAGTGTAGATAGTGTAGATGGTCAGTCAGACGGATGTGATGTGTTCCAAACGCAACCCGAGGCTCCTTCCTCTTCCTCCTCGGCGGCTCCACCTTCCTGGGCCCGTCTGTGCATCTGTCACATTTCCTCCTGCTTCCCACTTCCCACACTTGATACCTCACATCCCTCTGCTGTTCCTGTTTGCCCTTCTTTGCCTACCGTTAGTTACCTATGCTCGGAAGGGACCCAGCCCCTCCATTTGTTCCTCTTCCCCCTCTCCCCTAGCCTAGGGAGACTGAAGATGACCCTGGTAGGAGCTGAGGAACTGAGGAACTGGAGCTGGGACTCCCCCTCCCCCCCATCTATCCCGTGCTATCCCTTGCTTGTAACGGCTCGCAGGAACTTTGGAGAAAGGAGTCAGTCCCGCGACGAGCTTCAACGTCACACGAGACCACCAAGCTGATGTCGATCGGGGTCGAGAGGAGCTCAGTGTTGGAAGGTTGGAAGGAGGACTGGTCGTGTTCTTTGTCTGGCATGGGGTCCGATCAGCAGCCACCGGCACGACGCAGAAGAACCACCACAACACCAACAACCAACTCTTCTCCATAGAACCACAGAAGACAGAAGAACCTGACGCGCAGCACACAACATCTTCCCCCCCCCATCCAATCGCACTCGTCGATCCCATCGGCCTGGATGACGAAATCTGCGATCCGGACTAGTCGGACTGACAGGGCCTCCAAGCCGAGCAAATAGTCTGGTTTCCCTCCCCGTCTGACATCTGATCGAACCGCCAGCACGGACTGGATCGCTGATCAACGTTCCCTTCCCTTTTCCCCTGGGCTTCTTTTGGGAGTTTTGGGAGTTTTGAGAGTTTTGGGATCCCTCTCCTCTCTGGCCGGTTTTGCTTTCTAGTCCCAATTTTGCCCCTCTCCTCTCTTTGTGTTTCAACCAATAATGACTCCACTAGCCTTGCTTGCCCCCTTCTCTAGGCCCTGCGGTGCCTGGCCACCCTGTCCTGGTCGAATCCCACCCACACTGTCTGGATCCAACTCTATCGCGCAAGCTATTGGGAACGAGGCAAGCTCTTCATTCGACGATGCATCGGCTCGGCATAGTCGCCAGTAGGCCGTCAGATCGTACCAGGGTGACCCCAGCTTGTCCGCAAGGGCCTGACAGCTCCTCGAGTATCCTCTAGGGCATTCATAAACGCCCAGCGCGCCTCCCCTGGGGCTCCTGTTTCCTGTCCCTTGGATCCGATTACCTCTCGCAGTCGCCCCCAGGGACAGACAGCTTCCTCAATCCTCGATTTTTCTGTACATACCTACTACGTACCTTTATGCATGCATGCATCTCAATCGCATCCTATTGTCCCACTCCCCTTTTTCCCGTTCTTGACCAAGTCTCTCCATTGGACCCATTGGACTCATCTGATCGCTAGATGCTCTTGTCCTCTTTCGATATACCCTATTGCCCTGCTGCAGACGAAGGACCCACCGCGACAGTCCCTCCTATCCCTCCTATCCGACCTGGCACCGCGAATGATCAGTGACACCCATTGATGCTGACCACTCATACGCGGCGGGGGACTTAAAACCAGTAGCGAGCAGCTGGCGTGCAGCTGCAAGTCCCATGCTGCAGAGGAGCGACTCCCACGAAAACCTAGTCGCCCCGAGCCCCATTGTCCCAACCTGTCGACCGAGTTCCCAGATCCCCAGGAGCGGATACACCGCCGCCGCCATGTCGGCGACTCCCCAACCCCAACCCCAACCCCATACTCACGACGAGATGCGGTCGTCCGAATCGATCGACATGCGAAGTGACAGCGTCACCGACTTTGTAAAATTTATCGAAGCTCCAATCCCACCCAACGGATCTACTGGAGCGCGCGACATGATCAAAGCGGGTCAACGACGCCTGCGACAACTCGCCCAGCGGCCGAAAAAGACCACCGACCCAAGAGTCAAAGCTGAGGAGGCGGCTCGCCAATTGGCTGCCCTTCAAGAAGGAGGGTTCCTGCCGTCAGCTGTACATCCTCCTGTCAGTCTCCCGCGGCGGTCCGGCCATAAGAAAAGCCTGGACTCGAGCAGATCTTCGTCGCGGTCAATTTCCAATCTCAGTTTCAAGTCCACTTCCAGGAGGGATGTAGAAATCATCGGACAGCCATGGCTGACGGACCCACTCGAGAAAAAAGATAGCAAGCAACTTTCTTCGGTGGATCTACGGCAGTTGACGTCTTTGGTCGAGTCCGCGGTGTCACTTCCTCCACAGCTCGATGACACCAGTCCCCCACCCTATCAGCCACCGACCCCAGCAAAGGATCCCCGTCGTGATATGCGGCATTTGACCCAGCCTGCAGCTCCCCAAGACACTGTCGCCGATATAACCCCCGGGCCAGATGAACGCCATTTAGCCGAAGAGAAAAGCATATCCAGCGCCGACTCCCAGGACCAGACTGAACTCAGTGAACGGAAAGAGCCTTCTGTGTTATCTTCCTCTGAGAATAGTTCAAGTGAAGGCAAAATGCCAGGCCAGAAGAACCGGGTGGGTGGAGATTTTCCTCATGGGCATATCCCAGGTACCAGACTGACGTCCAACCAGCTCAATCCTAGGCCAAATGCGAGCACGAAAACAACAGAACTCCCAATAAGCACCGAAGCAGCCAAACCCCTATCCTCCACCTCGTCAGCAAGCATGCAGACTTCCACAAGTCAGCCCGCACCGTCCCTGAAGCTTTTCCCTGATACAATGCCTCCGCGCATGTCGAGTAAAAACGCCTGGCGCATCTCCAATGTTCGGCCGCTGGCTCTCAATAGGCCTCTCCCTGCTGCTCCGGACTCAAAGCGGGCTAGCATTGAGCTCAATGCTGAGCGTCCCAAACCAGCAGATAAACCGCTCCCCAAAGAACATAGTGTCGCTCGAAAGGCACCCGAATCGAGACATTCCACCCCCATGGATACTCGAAAGTCAGGCAACGATCCCATGAAGGGCCCAGTGAGCGAGGTATTTCCGCCCAAGAAGAGTTCCCGCCGCCCTTCCTCCCTCCCGATGGGTACAATTGACGCGTTCCCTCTTCCGGCACCCATGAGACCGTTGCCTTCATTACCCGAGTCAACTCCCGCGATTACAATTTGTGATCGAAGCGCAGCAGACAAGCCGGCGTCTCCGGAAAGACTGGTGTTGGATGGGAAGAACCATCCGGCTGCTCCTGTGCAAGCTGAACCAACCACATCAGACATAGCAAGTGAGCCGTTGGTTTCATTCGTGAGGGCAGGTCAAAGTCGGGCGGAGAGGGTTCATGCATTGAAGATGAGGGACTTGTCGGCGAGTCGTATCTACCTGAAAGACCCGGAAAAACCTGAAGAGGGGGGTGAACAGGTTACCCAATCGGAGAAATACTCGCAGGAAACAGCTCCCGATCGTGCGCAAACAATACCCCCGAACCATGAGCTGGAAAGCCCAACCGATGGTCCCAGAAGGTATCAGAGGAAGGTCGCTTCGGAACCGCCGTCCCCTCCTCCCCTCTCACCTCCTCCATCCAAGCCATCAAGGCATCTCGCCACCCAGTCTATCGGCAGGCGATACTGCTCCACGCCTATTTCCTCCCTCACGGAATCAGTCAGAGATAGCGATTTGTTTATACAGCCTCTTTCGGAAACCCCCTCCCAAGAACAGTGGAGCAGCAGCACTGGGAGCAGAGATGCCACAGCCGAGAGAGCGAGCAAGGAGCCAGTCAATAAATCCGAGATGCCCATCCCATCTTCAGACGACGATTGTACCGGTGGAAGTACGCATAACCGAACGCAACCAACTTCCGGCAAGCGTCGACGGGTAAAGCCTGAGCCTCTCACACTGGGTGAGCCTTCATCGCGCAAGGGGCGCACAGGGAAGAAGGTTTCTGACTACGGATTCCCATTGACGCCCATGGATCCCCGGGCTCGTATGTTCGATGGGGCTTCACCGCAGTCATACCGCTCCCACAGCACACATAATTCCCACGACTCTCGGAGCTCCAACCACCACCACCACCAATATTTGCACATAATACAGTCGCTCGAAGGGCGCGTTGCGCACCTTGAACGACACAACAAGGTCCTCCAGGCTGCTCTCCTCGCGGCTTTGGACGTGGGCATGAAGGAGAATCTCGAGAGCGTGCTGGGCGGGTCAGCTACTTCGCTATCCACTTCATCGATCACCCCACCCACAGGACGGTCTTTCTCCTCTGCCACGAACGGCTCCAGCTTGGACGGCTCCGTCGCAGACGACCGCAAATACGCGCGCTCCAGGCAGCAGCAGCCTCCTTTCCGGCCCACCAGCTGGATCGCCAGCCCCGAATCCAGCCGCCGGGGCAGCTACGACTCGGACGACAGTGCCCATGTCCGGGAGCTGGAGGACATGATCGAGGACTTCGACTTTGACTGGACGTCAGACAAGTCGGACCCTCAGCAACAACAACAATCAAGACCCCGGGCGTTCCAAACCTAGACGCCGAAGGGCCTGTCACTGTATATCGGAGGCATTTGACCGCCCTTCCTTCCTGTTACCCGTACATTCTTTTAATGCTTCCTCTCTCTCTCTCCACCCATAGGTTGACGATCTTTTTCTACGTGATCCCGGGCGGATGCGTTATGTTACTCATACTGACACTAACCCCTCATGCCATTCTCTGTTGGCTTGTACTTAGGCCGCTGTCTGTTTCCTTTGTCTCTGTCTTGTTGTGTTGTTTCCACGATACCACTTTGTTGTTTTTGTTGTTTGTTTGGTTGTATTTATTGACTGTCTGTATATTGAATGGATATACCCCTTGCCCATTGAGTGTGTACTGGAATAAAGTAATCAGTAGTCTGCAAGTAACATGTCTAGTGAAATGGCATCACTGCATTTGGGGATGTCCACCACCCCATATTTGGCGGCCTTAGGGGGGCTGCTGAGTCATCCACTTGTTTGTACGGCGTCGAATCTCCTCCGTTTGTTGATCAACTCCATCAACTCCATCACCTCCAGCTCGACAACAGCTTCAATCCCCCACATCCTCGCCCACTCTCCCTCTCACTCCCCGAGGAACCTGCAAGCGATGTTCTGAGCAGCCTCTCCAACCAACATACAACCTACGACTTCCGCGTCCGCTCACTCCACCACGCCTATCCATCTCATCCTGTCTGAACCTCCGACCTCCGTCCGGAACACCACACCACCATACCAACAATGGCTCTCCCAACAACCGTACGTCCCCCCTCCCCAATATCATCCCCCCACTCCAGTCATCAATAATCAAAACCTAACCAAACCTCCAACTCCAGACCCCACAAATTCCTCACCACGTAACCTCCCTCCTCACGCACCTAACCTCCCGCCCGGGGGTCCAATCGACCTTCATCCTCTCGCGCAAAGACGGCTCCATCATCCAAAGCACCGGCCTACACGCCCCCAAACCCAGCCGATCCAGCCCCCAGTCTCACACTCCTTATGCTCAAGCTGCCTCCACCTCCATCTCCACCTCCGCTTCCACCTCAGAGGACCCCAACAACACCGACACCGACCCCTCCACCAACCCCTCCCACCACCACCACCAACAACAGCAACAACAGCAGCAACAACAACAACAACAAGAACAACCTCTCTCCCCCACCCAAATCGCCCTCCCGCTATCCCCCATCGCCCCAACAAGTAAAAAACAACCCTACCACCCCTCGCACGCCGAGGCCCTCGCCGCACACATCTTCGCGTTTGTGTCCAGCGCGTCGGATTTGAGTCTGTCGCTGTCGCATCCACCGGAGGGTGATGCGGGCGCGGGCGCGACGAGACACGATGGCTTTGTGGATGGCGGGGCCGGGGACGCGGAGGGTTCGTTTGAGAGGGACGGGGCGGATGATGATGAGGTTAAGTTGTTGAGGTTGCGCACCAAGAAGCATGAGATTGTTGTCGTGCCGGATCGCAAGTTCTTGCTTTGTGTGGTGCATGATGCGGCGTATGGGGTGGGGGGGCTGGGGGGAGGAGGTAGAAGGTAGATTTGTTTGATTGATGGATGGATGGATGGAGGGAGGGAGGTGTTTTTGTTTCGGTTGGTTGGCTGGTTGGTTGGTGGATATACCCGGTTTATTGTGAATTCTGTCTGTCTGTCTGTCTGTCTCTCTCTCTCTGTGTGTGTGTGTCTGCTTGCTTGTCTGTCTGTCTATTGGGGCTGTGTTTGATGTCGATGTGGGGATTGGGGAGGGGTTGAGGAAAGTCTGGACGATCGGTAGAAGAGGGAGGATGGAGAAGGGGATATCTTGAAGAAGCTGGAATATACCATGTCATTCTATTTCTATTCTTTATGGAATTTCTGTTGAATCAGATAGAACTGACAATTTTTTATTCAGAACAATGAATGAAAAGAATTTATTCATCCTGCGGTTTCACTCCCCCCCCCCCCCTTTTTCCCTCTAGACGGGTATAAAATCGCCTACTCTCTTCACTTTCTTCCTCTCTTCTTCCCGCAACTCCCTATATCACCCTAACCTACCTACTATATCATTCACATATATACCACACCAACTTAATATAATAACCTTTCTTGACTCCCATCTATCCCGCATACAAAACCTCGCGTCCTGCAGTCAGCAACGTCGAACCCCCCCCCCCCACATCCCACTTCTCGGTCCCCCAAACACGACCATCGTGAGAACCAAAAAAAAAAAAAAAAAAACCTCGCATACGGTATATATAATATATCCGGGCTAATATTTCTTTTCTCACGAGATGGTCAACACCATGGCTACCCGCTTGAACACGATAGGCATCGGTCATCGGTTTCCATGAACGAACCAAACCCTCAGTCATAGGCTTGAAGTGCTCAACATCGCTCTGATCACGGCATTTCAGCATGAGCCAGAAGTCGACGAATCTAGATTTTGAAGATAGATCTAGCCGGGAAAAGAGGCGACGGCTAGGACCGGACGGACCGACTAAAGTTCAACTCGAGACTCGACTGGGGAAAAAGAAAGACACCCGGGCTGGAGCAGGACAAATATTTCTCTTAGCCATGACAGGCGTTCGCGAAGCCCACCACCACATTCATTTGAAAGGTTCAAAAGACTCCCGGGAAATCCGGTTGGAGCTGAGGGTTTGATATCAAGAGCGCAGCAGGTATGAAGATTAATCCCCGATGATACAACCGTGGTGATCATCGGGTAGGTACTAACTATACTCCCAGTCGGTCAGTCAGTCAGTCAGTCAGTCAGTCAGTCACTGGCACCTCTGGGAGAGTGATGGGGGTTCTTGGTCAAGCTTGTTGTTGTTGTTGTTGTTGTTGTTGTTGTTGTATGGAGAAAACGTCAGTCAAATGATAAGACTGCCCGTCTACACACCCACATGAGGTACGAATGAATGAACCTACGAAAGTTATGTAATGATGTAAATAATAGTTTAACAACACCGGATCAACTGTCCATCACACCGTAAGAATAAACGGAGAATTGTAGAATTCACGTGGTCCATCTCACCCAATCCAACCCAACCCAACAATCTACCACCCCTCCCCAGGCAACCTCACATCCCCCCACCCCCTCCCACTCCCATCCCCCAGCCCCTCACCCGACCCATCCTCCCTAATCCCCTTCCACTCCGTAACATTCAACCAACCAATCCGATTCAGTCCCCCGAACCCCCCAATCCAATAAACCTCCGTCACGACCATCCTGGCCCAAAAGCTAGCGTGCGGGGACCCCTCCCGCCCGGGCAACCAGACCTTCGCGTCGGGGTGTTTCTCCAAGTAACATTGCGAGAGCGCGGCCTCGGTGGCGGCGGGGAGAGGCGTCTCGAAGGGCTCGATGTACCCGAAGAGCGTGGCGCGGGGGAGACCCGCGGCGAGAGCGGGAAGCCCGGGAAGACTGGCGCGGTGTCGTTGATGTGAGACCACCAGTCCAGCGAGAGGGAGATGTTGGAGCCGGAGGCGGTGTTGCGGAAGGTGGTGGCGACGCGGAGGGCGAGGAAGGTGGGGTTTCCTTCTTCGTCTTCTTCTTTGGAAGATGTGGGCAGGGAGGGGTCGCAGTCGGCGAGGTATTCGGTTAGACTGATGGAGTGGCCGGCGAGGGAGGCCGGGGTGTGTGAGTTTGGAGGCAGTGGGGAGGGGAAGATGGTTGAGGCGATCCCGGTCGGGGAGAGGGCGAGGAGGCGGCGCGCGAGGAGCGCGGAGGTGAACCAGGAGGGGGCGGCGAGGTCGTGTTCCTCCTCCTGATTGAGGTCGGAGGGGGAGTTGTGGGTGTAGAGGGTGTCGGGGTGAGGGTCGTGGTTGGGGTGTGGGATGGGGTCGGTGAGCAGGGCTTGGGCGTCTGCGATGGGGGTGGCTCCGACCGGGAGGAGAGGGCCGAGGACGGCGAGGGCGGAGAGGAGGGCGACGAATGGACGGGCCATCGTGGGTGAGGGTGGTCGCTGCGATGCGATGTGAGTGCGGGCAGCTCTGGAGACGGAGATGGAAGGGAATATCCAGATGAAGAGGGACGGACGTATGGATGTATGGGGATGGGGAGGTGGGAGGTGAGGGGAAGGGAAGGGAAGAGGGGATCGAACCACCCGACACGGTCACGATCTGATCTTATCTGATGGCGCTAGCCCCCATCCAGACGGTCGGGTCACGCGACGGCATGTGACCCGGCAGGTGCCTTCCCGAGGGCATCCGGTGGCTCCGGGTCTGTCCGACCATGCCTGAGGCTAGCACGGACTGGGTATGAGTCACCGAGGAACCAGCAAACGCCCCGTCGTATCCAGAGATACCAGATGGCTAGTATGGCTGACCACCAACCGCCATCAGAGTTGCGGTGAGTCATAATGTGTACGGAGAGGACGATCACCTGAGGACGCGCCTCCGGAAACGGAGGGCCCGTCCACGGACGAGGCTGGGTCAGCTTCAACCGCCATCGGGATAGCAAATGGCCAGGTGGGTGGGGTGATCAGGCAATTTCAATCAAATCACGCGGGCTCAGCACAGATCATCTTAGACAACATCTTCAATTCATTGGGTGTCCCTGGACTGCCAGAGGACATCGACGCCTAGCTTCTTCTACCTATCAGTAATCGAGCAAGAGGATATTCATCGGTTTGCCAGTAAACTCCGCAGCATAATGGAATGATATGCGCCCCCTTCAGCCCTTGAAGATCCCACGTAGGACAAAATGCAGAAAAAAAAAAAAAAAAAAAGCAAACAGACACAAACAAAAAGCAGACCCGACCGTTCCCACCACACTCCGGTGCCGCAAAAACAAATAATAAATAACGATAGATATGGCAAATGTGCAGAGAAAAATGATAAAAAGAAAAAGCGATAGGAATAGTCCGCAGAAAAACCCCCCCAAACATACATCGTACACCAGCGGCAGCACCACTGTACAAGGCAAAGTCAACGCAGACTCCCATCCTCAAGCTCAACAACAGCTGCAGGGTATATACAAAGACCACTTTTGTTTTCCCCGAACGCATGAATAACTCGAGAGAAAGTTCGCACAAAACTTTTCGCTACCCAGTCTGCGTCTCTTCCGCTGCCGTGTTGCGAGTAGATCACAGAGTCACTCGGTCGACGAGATCAAAAATTTGGTCAGAATAGAATTAAGGGAATATTGAAAGTAATAACTTTTCCTCACAAAAAAAGGAAAGATAATGAGTGTGAATATCCACATGGGCTTGTAGGATCAGGGGACAAGCGTCAGTAGGACGAGATCGCCTAGCCCAGGTGGTCTGAACGCATGCTTGGGTTCAGCGCAATCTTTCGAGCTTCACTGCCGCAACAAGCACGCTTCATGCCAGCGGGTCCGGAGAGAGGCGCGCTGTAGTTCAGTGCATTCAGCTGAGCCACCGTGAGGGTCTGGGAACGTCTGGCCTCGGAGTTGAGGAACAAGTCCGCCAAGTTGCCATCAGGGAGCACGGTGCCTTCGGCAATCGTGTTCGATTTGATGAGGTGACGCACATGGCCCTGCAACAAGAGATCCTCAGACCCAGTGCGACCACGCTTGCGGCACTGGCGCTGAGCGGTGCCTTGCTGCTCTGCAACCTGCTGAGGGCGCGGAACAGCACCGGACAGCTCACACAGACTCCGCGCCGCTTCGTGTGTCGACGACATATCCACGGGGGCAGCCAGTGTGTATCCGGAGAAGTCGGGAGCTTGGCCAAGTGAGCCGCTGTATGACTCGGGCGAGCTGTAGATCTCTCCCAGCGCGCCTTCATCGATGGGCGAAGCGATGGCCAAGTTCCTGCGGCACTCCTTGAGAGAATTGCCGGTGCATCTGAGGGTCGCCTGGACAGCCAAGCGCGGCAGAGCACCCATAGCAGAAGGGCCCGAAGCGTTCGAAGACATAGAGGACGACCGCGACGACTGGGAAGACATGGTCGACACATCCGAGATCATCGAATCCGGAGAAGATGCCGAAGAGGCCGAGCGAGCCAAAGATGACCTGCGCACCAGACTGGGGTATCCGTCAAACGAGCCTGCCTTGGAGCAAAGAGACAGCGATGGGCGCTGGTCGTAAATCGACCGCGCCGTACACATGTTCTGTGCCTGAGACATGGCAGTCTGCAGATACCGCCTGTGCGCAGCGATACCGCCAGCACTCACTGCAGGAGTGGAGGCAATACTGGGCTGGGGAGTCATCTGAGGGGTCGGCAACATGGCCGGTCGGGGCATCGATGGCAACGATGAAATGGATGGAAGGGAGTGTTCTCTGCGAGGCGCCGATTCCAAAGCCACTGAGTGGCTATATGTCGATGTCTGCTCCCGGATGGATGGCAGGCTGATGGGCTCGTTCGTTGGCAGTCCGGGAAGATCCCTTCTGAACGACGTGCCACGAGGGGACGGCGAGTCCGACACCGAGCGGGAGCCAAAAGAGTCCATGCTCGCGGGTGTCGCGGGGGCGGCGTCAAAATCCTCCAAGTCGGGGGTGAGCTTGGGGATGATGGTGCGCCAGCACTGTCCGTCCCCGGTAGCCATGCCACTGGCCCCAGGAGTGTACTTCAGTACAATATCCGTCCAGCGTTGGAAGAGAGCCTCGGGGATATGAAGTCGCCAGCTGACTGCTTCCAGGAACATCAGCTCGTTCTGGTTGATTTCGATCGTGTTAAGACCAGAGATCTTGCTCCAGGCGCGAGCAGAATAGTTGCGGTCCTGGAGATACTTGGAGGCGAGAATCAGAGCCGCAAGAAACATGCGTCGACCGCACTGCATGGCCCGGCAAACGGGCTTGCCTCGCGGCTGGTCCTGTGTCAGGTCATGGCTCGGCACATGGGGCTTGATCTTGATCAAGTAGTACAGCGCCACCTGCAGTGTGCTGTAGCTTGTGCGCGAACGCCGGAGGGTCTCCTGGATGAAGGTCCGCAGAGGCAGGACGCCTTTGCATCCAGTCACCGAATCACTCCGGAGCGAGACGGCCGACAAGGGCCAGATGACCTCGACGATTTGCGACGCGGTATCTTGACGGCGGACTTAGCTGGGGGGGATCGACGGGAGAAGGTATCGGCTCGCGAGACTTACCGACGAGGTTGTCGACGAAGTTGACCTTCCGCTCGGACTGCCTCAAGAGGCAGGGCGGAGGCCGCGCGCACGAAACGCCATTGGACTGGATCGAGCTGTCGGTCCGCCGGGGGTGCTTACGTAACTCCGGCGGGACGGCAGGCTCGGTCACTTTGGGGACACCTCCCCGTAAGCAGCCACGCGCTCCATGGGCACCGGCGAAGCCTCTTCCTCCGGCCTGGTATTCGCCGTCGTTCTCCCAGATCACATCCACTGAGGTGGACGAGCTTGAAGAGATCGAGCTCTGGGCCGACACGCCATCCAGGGAGAAGACCGAGGAGGACGAGGACGAGGACGAGGCGGAGGAAGAGATCGACGATGCATAGGGGTGCGCATAAGCCGCTCTGAGTTGGATGTTCGGGTTTGGATCCTTCAAACCCAAAACGTCAATCCCTGACATATCCGGGATGCTGTCCAGTCGAGCGACCTGAATACTTTCAACAGATAGGAAAGATTCAAAAAGTACCTCAAATGGTCATTCAGAAGGCTGGCAGGTGTGTGCTAGCCGTTCCCACTCAAGCACCGGATATGGCGATGAGAATGAAATGTGTTAAACCGTGTTTTTATCAATAAACCGTTGTGCGTGAACCGTGAACGAGTAGCTGTAAGACAAGAAACCGTCTTTTTAATCGCAGGCGACGGCAGACCTTTAGTAGCGGGAGTTCGCCAGGTTGTCGGTGTCAAGTTGTGTGATGGTGGTAGAGATTAGAGTGAGAGCAGAACCATACAGCACAGTGTACGTGGCTGAAGGTCGAGGTCGAGGGGGGGAGTCGGATGAGATTTATAGGTACAAAGAGGGAGGAAAAGTGCGTGTCAGGGAATCGGGATAGGAAGGAATTCACCGTCTAATGTTCCGATCACCAGTTGTAGAATCCAGGTATATTCAAGCCGAGTATCGCGCAAGGAAAGCCACGTAGGAAGCTAGCGTGCCCTTCGAGATAACAAATGTCGGGTTGAAAGCGATTTAAACAGAGGCAACGGTCTTGCCAGCGGTTTGGATATCGTAGGAGTCTGCAACACAGGTAATCGGAACAAAAGACTTGAGAACAACAGGGTACATTTTGAGACGCGGAGGGCGCTATAAAATTATATCAGGAGCCGATAAGGCGGCGAACTGTCCGAAAGCAGGCGGAGATCGAGGACCGGCGCTTGTTCAGGCAGTCAACAGTCGTATCGGGGGGGGGAGGGGAAGAGGCGCGGAGGAGGGAGGCTCAAAGAGGCTGGAGGCGAAAACGGATGGAGTCAGCAACGATCTTATAGGAAACTATTCCACTTTGGCGTTCGTCTATGACTCTTACTCCAGATCTCACTTAGGAGGGAACCATGAGGGTCCTGTCCGGTGACTGTATGGAGAGCGGAGCGATGGAGAGTGACTAAGTTGGGGGCGGCGGCCACACTAGTCAAACGTAGGCAGGCAGAGAGGCAGAGAGATGGCAACCTGAAGCAGGCAAGCAGGCAGGGCAGGAGGCGAGTGGCACGAGACGAAAGGACGAGCATCAACAGATTAAAAATGGAAGATCGGTTACTCACCGGAGGGCAGTGGCGAGACTGAGAGTGGCGGGACTGACTCTTAAACAGAGCGGGCGCAGGGCAGGGACCACGGCTTTTCGTCAAGCAGGGCCGGCGAAAAGGGTGAGCGGAGAAGAGTCAAACACAGACAGAACAACAGCAAGGCAATAAATAATACAAAGAGCAGAGAGCAGAGAGCAGAGAGTAAATAGGGATAGCAACCACACTCACACTTCCTTTCTAGCGAAAGAAAGAAAGACGAGAGAGGGAGAGGGTGGAAGGGGAGGGGAGGGAGGCAGGCAGGCAGGCAAGTCAAGTCAAGTCAGTCAGTTCAGCCCTGCTGGCAGAAAGAGGAGAGAGGGAGGGAGAGGGCCGGAGTTGTAGTAGAAATCGGAAGACAGACGGGAGCGGATATGGTGGAGGAGGAGCGATGACTCTTCACGCCCATCCGAAGATAGGCCCCGGCTGCTACTGGACACTTCTGGGCCCGACTTGGGCATTCGGCTTTTACCTCTTAATAGTGTTACTATTACTATCTACTCCGTACTTTCATGACTTCTTGATTCTGCCCACCTCCCCCCCCCCCCCCATAGGTAACGGGATGGAGGCGAACTCTTCTTTCCGCCTTCCACGACCATGGTAACCATATCTTCTGACCCTGCCTGCCTTCACCTTGAATCCTCCTGGTTCCCCAGCACGCGGCCACACCCACCCACCCACCCTGGAAACGACCAACATGGGACATGACTAAGACAACCAAACCTGAGCCACCCCCCTCCGTTTCCAGTTTCCAGATAGGAAGCACAATGCACGCAACGCACGGAGTAAATAGTAAACCCAGCGATAATAATAATACTACTACTACTACTACTACTACTAGGTACGACGTCGGTCCCCAGGGATGATGAAATGATAACCCGTAGTTCCGCCTGATAAGTCCGTCTTTGCCGAGCGAACGACTACTATCTATTCTGGTATCTATCTTGTCGCCCGACAGATTTATCATTATTATCAGTGAGTTGTTATCACACAACCGACCGACCGACCGACTCGAGTCGAGCATTTGGGTGCTTATGACGGTGACTGCTGTCCTACGTTGCCCGGCACACTCTGAGCTGGGAGATACCGAATGGAGGCATCCCGTCGGCAAGTTGTTCTGTCAGTGCTGCTGTGTAAGGCCCGCGGTGGTGGTAGTTACGCATTGCCAGACGTCCAGTCGACGCCGGTCGACAGACATCGCGTTGACTGACGTCTGTAGAGCGGCAGCATCGTCAGGGAATAAGCATAACCCAATAGGCGGCGACATGAAACCGGGCCTGTCATGTACCTCCTACCTATGATGCAGGTATGTACCTAATGTATGTAGGGCGGTATGTAGTTGGAGGAGGTTAGTTAGTAGTAACTAGCGAGTAGCATGTCGGTTGGTAAGCCTCGGGCCATTGTAACCGCGTCACCGAGTGTCTGGCCTCGTTCGTCGTTGGTTTGTCGCCCAGAGTCGTCGGTCTCAGCCAGTCCCATTGGGAAGGAGAGCCCTGCCGCTTCCGTCAATGGCCCAGAGAAAATGGTGGTGGTCAGCCAACCACCGCAGACGGATTTGCCAGCCACGCCACCACCACCACCACCACCACCTCCTCTAGGGGAGAAATTCTCTGCTGAGGTCGTGACACGTACTGGGATGGCGAGATCTCTGCCCTAATTTGGTCCCCAGGGTTTGGGACTACGACTGAGGCTGTCATCCAAGTTTCAACATGGTTGAAAAAAAAAAAATTAAAAAAAGGGATGAGGCTGTTCCTACTCCTAGGTGGGCAGATCCTCCGCCAAACTAGTACTGGGTCTCGATACACAGCCGGCTGGCTATGTAGATATATCTATCTATCTAGATCGTTCATGGCGTCTCCTTTTTGACGGGATATTTTTACATTCCTCGTCACTCATCTTGCATTTGAAGACGACCTCGTGCGGTTACAGTGCGGGAGTACTACTGTACCATGCTGGAGCCAAAGACAACTGGCTGTGGAACCAACCACCCCGGTCGCAGACTGCTGACTGACTGGCTGGCTGGCTGGGCTGGCAGCAAGCCGTAGTTAGTTAGATGAGATTAGGTAACCAGGGTGGTGAAGTCCAGGCAGCAAGATGGGGCAAGATGGGGCATCTGGAACTCCGTCTCTACTCCGCCCGTACGTACTTAGTTAGATTCGATGATGTTATATCCCGCCAATCCTCTGACCTCGGCTTGATTGTCTGATCATGAATAAGCTCCTGCGATTTGACCATTCATGATTCCGGGGTATGGCATCTATCTATCTAGCTAGCTCTGAGGCTACAGACTCTTGGCCGCGGTATGAACTGCACTAAGTGGCCAACAAGGCATGCACTAAAATTTGTTGGTAGCGTGCCAGGATCCACCAACAGGCATGTAAAGTGCAACAACCCTATAAACACTCGCCCAGGGTCGAGGGTTGAGGGAAGGGAGGTGATGGTACAGAGAAGGATGAAGGAAGGATGGACATGACGGGGTCCAGCATCAGCATGATTCATCATTGTGCTCGAGTCAGCAGCGGAGGCTAAACCTGTTCATGCATGCTTGCATACAGGTGCATAAGCGTGTCACATGATCAGTTCGCTTTTCATCTACGTACATGTACATGACTGTTACTAATCTAGATAAATATGTACCTTGCCATGTAAGCTCTGAGCCACACTGAGGAACTACCATGATGCTGCTACACAGCAAAACGCCTTGAGATACTTACGTAGGCAGGAGGCAGGCTGTGAACCCGCTAAGAATAATAATAGTGCCAGGGCTGGGACCTGGACGCAAGACAGTGACAAATTCATGACCCTCGGTACCCTGCGGAGCCGTACATCTCGGCATGGCGTGGGTGACTGTGGACGACTCAGCAACCGCCAACTAAATCCAAAAACTGGGTGGAGCCACACCGCCCAATGACGTTACTCCGTACGTGCCGGGGCTGCCGGTGAGATGCGCTGCGCCTGTCTGCTGGTTGGCCCGGCAGTCGGGGGCTGCCCCGCAGTCGGATTCAGCCAATTCAGCCAGTTGGTCATCATTGGTGTCTTGGTCAAGGGGAGGAGGGAGATACTTGTGTCTTGTACTTGTCTCACGGAGACGGAGTCGGAGTCTCACGGAGTTGGTGCCATGACAGGACAGGACAGAAGGTGGGAGAGGTTTCGATCGTCCCAGCCATTCTTCCATCCAACCGAGCCAGATGGGATGGAGGGAGAGTTTCGCATGAGAAACTTCAACTACTAGTATGATACTTCCTGTCTGTCCGTGGCATGTATTGTACAGTGCTGTGATGAGATATATATTTTGCCTGTCTGTCTACCAACACAACACAACACAACACAGCATCAAGACCAGCTAGCCAGACCACTATAGCCCCCAAACACCAAACAGAGTAGTTATACATAGGTAGTCATCGCGATAGATAGATAGATAGATAGTGATAATGTCAGAACCCTGCTACAAAAAACCCAGCTAACCTAACATACCTAAGTATCTACTCCCCATAACTTTCAAAAGTTCCAGAAATAAGCGCATCACCCAAAAAGTACGTCCTATACCTCCGTACGGATTCAAACCCACCCGGAACGGCCTGCGAAAGCCAAAATAATAATTAATCCCGCTCCCTCGTTCATCGAACGTAGCCTGGCCTAGAGCCTAGTCTATCCGGATCCATCCATCCATCCATCCATCCATCCAGCCTGGCATTAGATAATTAAACTAACTACAAAATCCTCCGACGCATTTGCATTTGTGTTTGCATTTTGCCTTAGTTACTAGTAAGGCTGGATAGGCTACCTACCTAGAAAGTAGAACCAACCCCTCTCATCCTCCTTCCCCCTTCTCGCTGCGTGCGTGTGTGTGTGTGTGTGTGTGTGTGTGTGTGTGTCTCCTCCCCGGCCATCTAGAACAGGATGGAAAGAAGTTAAGAACCTTAACACACACCCCCCTTTGGGAAACGCGCATGAAGGATGCCGGGCTAATGCCGGCTCTTATGCGTATGACAGTAGTACTACCCACTACCCCTCAAACGAGGTATCACGGACGGGTTGGCCGTTCCCGTATCGGATGGAGGTGACAGGTGGGTTGGGTGGGTTGGGTTTGAGCGACGGGGACAGTGACAGGATGGGATGGGGGTGTCACAAGGTGGATGGATGGATGGATGGATGGATGATTCGAACTTTTTGAAAGTAAGTACGGATGTATCAGGATCGTGGTGGTTGGATTCAGCGCGGATAGAGCATCCAATCTGGGATCAACAGATGCTGGATCGTAAGCAGGTGTGTTTCATACATCCTCGGCGCTAGGCAGGGGAGGGACAAGGGACTTACTTGGTCTTGGTCTTGGATGGGGTGATGTCTGTCTAGTACAGCCTACAGCTCCTAGAGGAGTACGGATGGTATTATGATCTGACTTTGTATGTAATCGCTACCTACCTCCTATTGAACTACCTACGTCTCCAATACACCTTATTAGTAAGTGTATATATATATCAACACTGGAATATGAAGAAACCAGTCTTCCTCCTCTGTCTACGCCCACACCTGTCCACAGAAGTCAGTCAAATCATCCAAGAAATCCCGCGGACATTCCAGTGCCGCGAAATGCCCTCCCTGTGTAGCGTCAGCAGATATACTATACAGATACCTTCTTCCAGCAGGCAGAAACTATGATAGCCAAGAAAACATACCTTCTCATGTGTCTTCCAGAACACGAGATTCCCGGTTGTCTCAACCCAGACGCGCGGCACAGGTACGAGTTCCATCGGGTAGTAAGAAAACCCAAACGGCTTTTCGATATACCACCGGGGGTCTTCGGCATGTTTCACCTTGGGGGGCGGGACGTTCTGTCACGGGGATGGGGATGGGATGAGTACAATCGATAAGACACTAGCTTTCTGGGGATAGGAGGCAATGTAGGACGTACCTCGCGATAGTGGTAGATAGATCGGGGGAATGTCTCGGTGAACCAGTATAGACTCACAGACTCTAGGATGGTCTCTAGCGGGATCGTTTCGCCTGCCCAGTCGAGGAACTTTTCTCCGATCCTTGTATGACCCCCCCCCCCGTGTTAATTAAGATTCGAATATCCCGTAGGTGTTCAGGGTACCTACCAGGCCAGCAAAGCAACAGGGCTCGATGACAGAACGTTGCCAATCGTGCTGGGTCGCGTGCCATGTTCTAAAGAATATCCCGTTCCGAACGTAGCGAACCAGCCTGCGCGAGCCAACCCACGCCGTTCCGATTCGGCGATTGCGGTATCCGGAACGTGGTCGGGTTTACCCATGAAGCAGGCGTTCACTTCCCCCATGGATGGTGATGGTTAGACAACAAACTATATCCAAATGAAGGTGCAACTCACGATGAATCGCCTTGCACGCCGGGTAATCGACAGCGAGGATCCGGCCAATCTTCGACCCAATATCTCCACCCTGCGCAACATAGCCGCCGTCCTCGAACCCGAGATTGAGCATGACCTGGTTGAGGACCCGAGCCGTGTCCTCGCCAATGAAGTCCCTGTCCACCGGAGGTCCCGATGAGAAGGTGAACCCCGGGAGCGAGGGTATCACGAGATGATATGGCAAATCTTCCGGGCTGTATCTGTCCCGAATAAGAGACAGCACCGGGAGAAATTCCAGAAAGCTGCCTGCGGGAATGGTTAATCTTGATTTTTCGGACAAGGAAGAAGGAAGGAAAGAAGGGAGGGAGGGAGAGAGAGGAGTGAGCTTGCCTGGCCAGCCGTGGATGAGGACCACAGGGACAGCGTCCTTCTTCCGGGAGAACAGGGCCACAAAGTGGATGGTTAAGCCCTCGATGTCATAGGTGAATTGGGGGAAGCTGTTGAGGTGCTTTTCTGCAGCTCGCCTGTTCAGGACCGGGTCAGATTTGATTTGGGGCAGTTGTGTGATTGATTTGAAGGGGGTTGGTACCAGTCGAAACTCTTCCAGGCTTCTTTGGCGGTGGTGAGCCATTCGTTCGTGACTCCGTATTTGCGATCTGGCTGTTGGTTTTCGAAGGTGGGGGGCGCGAGCTTGGATAGTTTTACCAGTAATTGGAGCTCCTCGATTTGCTCGTCGGGGATGTGGATTTGGAAAGGGGACGGCGCGACTTTGGCGGCCGCGGGGATGTCGCTATAGGCGAGAGCCATTTTGGATATTGTACGTAGGAGGGTAGATGGGGAGTGGGAAGAAGTTGAGAGGTTGCTTGAATGTATATGCGGGGTATGGACTGATTGCATCACTAATCTCACTAGGACGTCTACTATGTATCACCCTACCGCTTCGATGCCTAAGGAAGCGCTAGCGGGATCGGTGTACTTATGGGGCTAGGAGTGAATGCATTAGGATGAGCCATAGTCCCTTGGATGAGACCGGTCGCCCGCAAATACGAAGCAAGCAGGCATTGTGGAGATTCTTCGGGAGAATCGGTCTCTGCAATGACGGGTTTCTTGGTGTTGACTAGGCATCAAGCTCTACAGTCATGGGTGCCTGCTTGCGTACCAACAAGGTCTTAGATAGATATGAGTTATGGAAAATGGAAGGATGCGATTTATCACTGTAGACTCAAGGACGAGGATTCTTCCTCGGTATATAGCTAGATTACTGCAATGACTTCCCGCAACACCTGGACAAGTGATGTGATTTCCTCCTCTGTTGGTCATTAGCATTTGAACGTGAACATCGGATGTAAACTGACCGGTATTGTAGTGCAGCATGCTAATGCGCACGACCCCATCGTCAATGTCCTCAAGGCCTATAATGTCCTTGAGCAACCGATGACTATACATGTGTCCGCTCCGGAAGCCAAATGGGCTTCTTTTCTCAACCTCTTCCACAAGTGCTTGACTCTTGACACCCTCGACGGTGAAGCTGATAATAGGGAGCCTCAGCTCTTTGCTCGCGAACGGCTCTCCGAAGATAGTTATGCGGTCTTCGCTTCGTAGGAAGTCCAGGAGGATTGCCTGCAGCTTCTCCTCGAAGACGGCGATCTGATCCCACGCGGCAGAAATGTCAGAGCCAAAATAGTCCAAAACTCGCGGAATACTCTGTGTCAGCTCGTAGTTGGCAGAGGCCAGGTTCAGCTTCAGATCTAGGGTCTCTGTGGTTTTGAAGTAGTGGCATAGAGGGTTGATCTGGTCGTGTATCCGGGATGATGCGTACAACTGGGCCATGTGAGGACCGTATACTTTGTACCAGGAGAATGCCTGCGGGGTGTCAGTACGATATAACGTTTCTGTTCGATGGTTGCTCACGTAGAAGTCGACATCAAGGTCCTTGATGTTGACCTGTCGGTGTGGAGCGAGCGCGACGCCGTCCACGCAAAGAAGGGCCTATCCCCATATCAGACGAATCTTAACCCACATCGCGTGAAGAGACCATACCCTGGGAGATTGATGCACGACCGTCGCAATCTTCTTGACATCGGTGATGGTTCCAGTGATATTGGAAGCGTGTGGACAAGCCACGAGCCTCGTCTTCTCAGACATCAACTCCTTCAATTCGGTGGGATCGCAAACCGGGTTCTCACGGTCTGAAGCACCCCACCATTTCACGGTCAATCCCAGAGCGCGTCCAATGCGATCCCATGGGGCCGAATTGGCCTCGTGGTTAAGCTTTGAAACGATCAATTCGTCACCGGGCTGAAAGTCCAGCGCCGTGGAAAGATTGTGGAGGAGCTGCGTCGTCGACACTCCCAGGCAGATCTGTCATGGTCATGGTCTTAGAACCGCGTATGCGACATGCAGGGTCGACAGGTACCTCGTCTGGGCTTGCATTGATGAACTTCGCTGCTGCCTCGTAGCCGTGACCGTATGCAGCAGTTGATAACTTGGAAGTCTTGTATGTTGCGCCCAGTTGGACGTTGGTGTTGGAAAGGTATGAGACGATACTGCGCTCGAGTCAGTTGAATCCGAGGGCTATCTCTGGGAGACGCACGATTCGATGACCGTGTCCAGCACCTGGCTGCCTCCTGTTACTCTGTTAGACCCTCTTCTTCTTCTTCTCCTCCTTTATCTAGCTGTGGAAATAGAAACCGACCTGCATTGTCTAGGAAGACCTGTTCCTGATTCAAGGCGGGGAAGCGAGAGCGAGACTCCGCGATGCTGAAAGCCATGTTGTTGAAGGGAAGGGGAGGGGATGCAGGACAAGTTGGTACGGTCGCGTAGCAGAAGAGTTGCAGAGGGAGGAGTTCGCTTTCCCTCTCACTTCCAGCAGATGGTTTCTGGCGCCTGAAAGGGCAGGCCGGCAAGCAAGTCGGCGCAAGAGGGAAGAGGGGTAAGGAAAGCTTGTTGCCGTCCCCACCACATCTTCTCCTTCTCCCCATCATAGCTTATCGCGACGGCGGACTCTCCCCGAGTCTTGGTCTGGACTCTGCGCCCAACAGCTACTCCCTCCGATCGATCGGACGTCAGCTGTCAATCGTTATGCCATCGCTGCTCGCTTCTGTCGCTAGAGATTTCCCTGTCAAGATTCGATCCCCTCGCACCACCCAGACCGCGTCGAGACCTCGGCCATGCTCGGCCCCGTGCAGCACGCGTCGGACTTCGTTGATGGCCAGAACAGTGGCGTTCCAGTGTTCATCGGGCGCATGGCGGTAAATGCGACTTTTCAACCGATGTGGAGGACTGGAGGGGTTCTATATCTTCAAGAATAGGCAGGCCAGACATGGATGACGCTCGATCGAGGGCGTGACCCAGGGATGAGACGAAAGTTTGCGGGTCTCCGCAGCGCAGTGCCTGACGTCAAACCGACGGATCCAGTATGGGATCGAGGCATCATGCATTCTTATCAATGTCACCCTCTGGAGAGCTCCGTTTCCCGATGATTCTTATCGAGATCGAGGTGTCCGTTCACGTTGACATCCAATGGCAAGGGATCGGCTATCATGCTTATCTGCCTGGGGGGCGACGGCCTGCAGCGTGTGATTGGCAGCCTGCACCGTCTGCAGCTCTCATATACTAGTGGGACAGCGCATGGAGCGACCTTGTCCCTTGCTTTTTGATCAACCTTCTTTGCTTTTTTGCCCCCCAGCTCAGCTCTGCGCGGCGGATGGGTCTTGCTTCTCATCCATCCTTCATCTCCTGCATCTACGTAGAGGGCGTCCATAGGCAACCATGAAGTTCCAACGGCCTCGTCTTCGTGTCGCGCAGTCACGCTCGGCCTTTGCAGATGGTAATTCTCGCTGGACCAATCTGGATCTAGACCCGGTTCCTCTGCATCGTCGCAAATGGGGACCGCTCAGTTTCATCGGTACGACCGTTATCCCTGGTTCTGAGCTTGTGCTAAAAGTATCTGCTTACAGCGTACTGGATCTCCGATGCTTTCAACGCAGCCACATGGCAGTTCGCCAGCAGTATCCTGGCCGTGGGCCTCAGTTGGCGCGAGGCGCTGATCATCGTCGCCATTTCTTTCTTCATCATGTCCTTCGTCATCGCTGGCAACGGCGCGGTCGGCGCCATATACCATATTCCGTTCCCCGTGATCGCGAGAGCTAGTTGGGGCTTCTGGGGGTCTTACATCGCGATCATCTCTCGAGTCATTCTGGCGTTGTTTTGGTTCGCGATCCAAAATGTCAACGGCGGCAACGCGGTGCGGGTCATGATTGGGGCGATCTGGCCTAGCTTTTTGAAAATCAAGAACGAAATCCCAGAGAGCCAGGGTATCACGACGAATGAGATGGTCGGGTACTTGATCTTCTGGATTATCCAGCTCCCGTTTATGTGCATTCACCCCAACAAGGTCCGGTGGCTGTTTGTGGTCAAGACCGTGCTCGTGCCGATCTCGTGGATTGCAATCCTGATCTGGGCATTCGTGGCCGAAGGAGGTGGTACTATGTTTGAGGAGAAGGCGACCGTGTCCGGGTCCAAGTACAGCTGGGTGTTTCTGGCGAGCATGACGTCTGTGCTGGGAAACTATGCCACCCTCAGTGTGAACCAGGTAATTCTGTGTAACGTAATGAGGTGCGACAAAGCTAACGTGGACAGTCCGACTTTTCTCGCTACTCGCGCGTGACAGCGAAATGGCAGATGCTATACATCCCCATGCTCCCTATCGTCTTCACGTTCATTTCGTTCATCGGTATCTCCGCTTCATCGGCTGGATACGCCCGCTATGGAGGCTCAATCCCATGGGATCCCCTCACGCTCATCAGCCACTGGTCGAGTCGAGCCTGTCGCTTCTTCGTAGGATTTTCATTTGTGTTGGCCTCCCTGGGAGTCAACATTTCCGCCAACTCAATCTCAGCCGCCAATGACCTGATGTCTTTATTCCCGGCATATATCAATCTTCGACGTGGCCAGGTGATTTGCGCGATCATCTCCTGGGCTCTAGTGCCATGGAAAATCCTCGAATCGGCGGACAGCTTCATGAACTTCATGTCTGCGTATGCCATCTTCCTGGGGCCGATTGCGGCGATCATGTTGTTCGACTTCTGGGTGTTGAAGCAGCGGAAGTACAACACACTGGCGCTGTACCAGCCCAATAACCCGGTGTACCGATACTCAGGCTGGGGGGTGAACTGGCGCGCGGTCGTCGGGTTTCTGGTCGGCGTGGCACCGAGTCTGCCGGGGCTGATCAACTCGGTCAACAGCAGTATTCCGGTGGGTGTAGGAATCCACCCGTACCAGTTCGGCTGGCTGCTGGGGTTCGTGGCGACCGCTGTAGTGTATGTCGGGCTGTCGTGGGTGTTCCCGGCGCGGGAGTCGATCATCGAGCGGGCCGTGATGGCGGAAGAGATCTACGACGAGAGGGAGACGGTTGAGGGGGTGGAAACCGTATCGGAGGAGATATTCGATAACACGCACGAGAAGACGAAGGTCTAGCCTGAAGCCACCGCAGCAGGAACATGAACACGAACATACATCACACACATCTTGAAGTCCAACAGTAGAATACATACATACATACATACGTACAGCCCAAAAAGATCACCACAACGCCAGTATGAATCAATCCATGACACAACCAAATCAAGCCTCAAACCCAACCCCTCTCCCATACTCCACAGCCTCCTTCATCACTTTCGATACTGTCATCGACGCCCTCCCCACCTCTCCCCCCTCCTGCCTCGCACTCTCCAGGCCCCGTTCGACCGGAGCCAAAAACCGTCCCTGAAACACCCTCCACCTCTCCTCCCTCGTCTCGTACATCTCCCCCTCCTCATCTCTCGGCGACCCAAACAAATTCAAATATACATACGGCTGCGCTGCCTTAGCAACCATATGCACTTCGGTCTGCACGACCGGAAACCCAACCGCAGCCCCATCTCCCTCCCCATCCATCATCCCCACATCCCCATCCCCACCCCCACCCCCACTCCCCTCCCCAATACCCGCGCCCAAAAACTCCCCCAAAACCCCCACGACCCTCACCATGGGCTTCCCCTTAGCGCCAGCCTTACCAAACGCCGCGCGATTAGCCGACCACTTCGCCGACTCCTCGGTATGCCAGCCCAAGACGGAGAGGAAACAGTTCAGCGTCTTGATCCAACCCCCAGCGCACCCGACGACCTCCTCGCCCGCGATCCCCAGCAGCCACGAGAGCACATCCACCGCCGTGATGCGGATGTCGGGCGCCAGATGCGTCATCCCGGCGCGGACGTACGGCATCAGCTGCACGACGTGGTCGGCGACGTCGCCGGCGGGCAGCGCGCGGAGCAGCTTGAGCAGGTTTGTGCGGACGGAGCTGCTCGCGTCGAGGATCAGGGGGGACAGGGTGGGCAGGAGGGTGCTTACGGGGGTGGGGAGCGGGGTGGTGCTGGGCTTTGACTGCAGGTAGCTTGTTAGGTGGGCGAGGGAGTCGCGTCGCTGGGCGTCGGATTTGGAGGTCACGTGCGACAGGTGTGAGGTGAATTGGGTGTTGGTGGTGGGGGCGGTGAGGGTGAGGGATTGTTGGGTTAGGGTTATTCCTGGTTTTTTTTGGGGGGTGGTTAGTGGTGGTTTATGAGGGGGAATTGGTGGTGGTGATGATGATGATGATGATGATGGTGGATGTGATATCACAGAGGTAGGTGGTAGTGATGGATGATGACGGTAGGGATTAAAAACACACCCTTAGATTTAAAGCTCGTATCGGTGAAATTCTCCGGCTTAGCTTTCGCCTTTCCGACGCGGAGCTTAGGTTTCTGCGGACACGAGTTAGTATATACACATACATTTATGAATCTGATCGATCCTGATATGGGATTTCTCCCGGGGAAGGAAGAGGGAATGGGGGCGGGGGGGCAAGTACCTGGAAGTCCTTCTGCTTCTCCTTCTTCTTTTTGGCGCTGGAACCCATTTTGCAATTTGCTGCTGCGCGGGACGTAGGCTGTGATCCGGGTCTTGAGAGAATCGGTTTCAGACAGCTACTTATTTTAATGTGGTTCTTGAGGAGGCGATGCTGTTGGATTCATTCGATGGCCGCCGAATTTTTATATCGTCACGTGAGTCATGTGACGGGTGGGCGGTGATTGGTCGACGCGGAGTATACAATCACGCGGGCGGAAGGAGCAGGACTTGCGACTTTCTTCCTCTTCCTCTTCTTCTCTTCTCCTCCACTTGCTCTGCATCTCCTGTACACCATCCACAGACAGCGCAATACTCTGGGAGTCGATGTATTCTTGACAATCCCATCCCAAAAGAAGTGAGTGCTCCCGTTCTCCTCATTCCAAAGCCCATTACTGTCAAGGTCGCCTCAAACTCCTACTGGTTTCATTCTCTCGAGTCAGTTTGAACGAAAGTGATTAGATTTCTCATAATATATCTGCTAATAATACATCTGCGAATCGTCTATATACTCTAGCATTTAATTCGTACTATACAAAGGCCTTGTGTTATCCCGTTTCATCGAAATCATATCTCATGATTGAGGAGAAACGACGTCCTTTCCTTCTGCTAATTTTTTCAGAATCTCTTTCAGCTGCTTGAGCGGCGTTGGCTTCGTCAGAAACATGTTCGCCCCGCTCCTCAGCGTCTCCTGCTGGGTCGAGCCCGAGATGAAAGCAGTCAGAATAATGATGGTGGCTGGGGGCAGCTTTTTCCGTCGTTCGTGGTGGCGCATTTGCCGTGTGGCGGATAATCCGTCCATTACCGGCATGGACACATCTGCTTCGTGGTCAGTCGTTCGATTCTGTCAGGACAAGGCAAAGGCAACTAACCCATCACTACAGCGTCGTATCTCCCGGCCCGGAACTTTTCCAATGCCTCCAGGCCATTCCGGGCGGTTTGGTACTCGAATCCAGCGGTTTTTACGCACATTTCGATGATCTGGAAAAGCATGAGTCAGAGCGGTCGGGTTGGCTATACTGGTGGGCGATCAAACCTGCAGGTTGACTTGGTTGTCTTCAACAAGTAGGATGCTCTTCGACGGCTTTCCGTTCTTAGGAAGTGCTGCCATGTCCGAGGCTTGGAATTGGATCATATCCTCGGTAGGTCCGCTCCTCTCCAAGCTTGCTTTCTTCTTGCCATGATTGGATTCCCTTACTTGTCCGCTGCTGGATTCCCCACTTCCACTTGGCGGCGATTGGGCAGGTGAAGGGGGCTTATTCGGCGTGAAAAGTTCTCCATGTTCAGGCCCGTATATGCAATGCTCAAATGCCTTTGCCAACGTTTTCGGGCTCACCCTAAATTGTGTTAGCATCTTGTTAATGAAATCACAGACAATACCTACGGCTGCGTGAGGAAGATGATCGGATCATCGACACCTTCGCCCAAGGTCTTCCAGCTGCTTATCCGTTCACTGAGAACGATCAAGGGATACAAAGGCCGGATCTCAACAGTCTCCGACTGGGCCTCATTCGGACCTCGTAGGTAATGATCGCAGTATTCTCGTTCTGTCACGATGGTAAAGTCGGGTTTCGTAGTATCAAGTTCTTCCCGAGTGAGAACACGCAGCCCGAACCATCCGGACATCATGCGTCGCAGGTTAATCAGTATATCGTCAAGGACAACTGGGTCAAATCCCAAATTACCCTGCTGAGAGCTCCGCGTGAATAGTGAAATTGTCATGCCGCTAATCTTCTCTCTCAAGGGCTCATAGGGGTTTGGAGAAGAGGACAATGGCTGTTCTGGTGCCATCACCGGTAAAACAACATCCACCTGGGTTCCCCGGTCGATCTCACTGGAGAAATGGATGCTCCCGCTCAAAGACCGGACAATCTGATGCACCAGGTGAAGGCCAACACCCAAGCCGGGAGAGGTTGTGTCCTCTTGCAGGAAGGCGCTGTACAGGTGGTGCGTAAGAAAATCTTGAGACATGCCGCGTCCGGAGTCACTGAATATCATGCGAACAGCAGGCATGCGGTTTCCGTCCTGTCCCTTGAGCGTGTCTTTCTTCATCAACAACCGGATATAACCGGTCCGCGTGTACTTGAGGGCGTTCCCGAAGAGGTTCATAACGACTCTGCGCCAGGCACCAGCATAAACATTAAACTGCCAGCTTTCATGCCATTCCATGTCCACAATGGTCATCAGTCGAGCCTTTGACAACTGGCCGTCTTGCTTCGCATCGCTACCATCCGTTGACCCGCGACGCTGATATTCTGCACCGGCAAGGAGACCTTCGATCACCTCCTGCACCAAGACACTGAGGTCCTCGTCTTGGGGAGTGCCAGGAACGGCTGTATTGGGTCTAGAGACGTCCGGTTCTCCGTATTTGCCCGGTTGGTCTGACGGGCGTGATCTTGTGAGGGTGTTGATTTTGGCATAGTCAAGCAAGTGATTCAGGGTGTCCAGCAATGTCCGACCGCAGCTGTACACCGTTTCGATCAAGGATCGCTGGGCATAGTTGCTTACCATCTCCTGCAGTAGCTCCGCGGTCCCTAAGAGGCCATGCAAGGGGGACCGGAGCTCATGAGAGATGGAGGAAATGAAATCGCCTTTCGCTCGATCGGCCGCCTCAAGGTCCAAGCGAGAGACTTCCGCCATGACGGTATTGCTGAATGCCGCCATGTAAGTTAAGTCCTTTGGTTCTGATAGCACCCGCCCCGGGTCATTCGTCCAGACCAGCTGGACCGTGAACCAGCGGCTGCGCTGGAAATCCCATACGGGATAGATTGCAATACATCTCGCTTTGGGGAGGACCTTCATCAGTTGCTTGATATCCATGGTTTCCTGTTGGATGTTCATCTTTTCCGCCTCCGTGGTCAGGGCTCCGCGGTTACCACTTGTCGTGTAGTGGATTTCCTCTGCAAGCCCCTCGTAACTCAGGGAGATGGAGCCATCCTCCTCGATATGGAAGATCTTCCCCCGAGGATATTGGTCGATGAGATGGCTTACGAAAGCACCGGAAAGCGAGACATAATGACTATCTCCCGGCTTTTCGTCCTGCCCGGATGACGTGAAATGACCGAGTACAAGGCTCCTACCTTCTTTACCTTCGTCCACAGAGCTAGAATCCGACCCACTGCCTGGATGCGAGGCGGATGGAATCGGTCCGTCACGATCTGTTTGATGTTCGACGTTGTAGGTATCTGGGTCATCCGGGCCTCCAGGGGATCCGACGGTTTGGCGACGAGCGTACACGCTTGCATCGATAAACAGTGTCCCCTCCACATCCAGCGCCTGATAAATCATCACCGCGGCACGATTAACCACGGTCCGAACGCTGGTGGGAGCGAGGGAGTCTTGCAGCTGACTGGTCGTGGGCGACAGCTTTGGCCGGTGTCTTTTGCCTTTGTCGTCGGATTTCCCCTCCCTGCTCTCATCATTTCCTTGACTCTCATAAGTGTGCACCGGGGATACGTCTTTGTTCCTCTTTTTTGCGGTGTCCTGAACCGGGTTAGGCTTGACGGTGTCGGGGGCCTGTTCCTCGCCTTCGTCCTCATCACCCGACCCAGCAACCTGTAGCTGCTCTAACTTTTTACTCACGGACACTAACTGAGACCCGTATTTCCGATTGGAAGCGTCCCAGCTATTAACCCAGTCGTTTAGATCCGATTTTCCCTTCACGAACAGCCCCAATGCGCGCACCATCTTCTCCTCCCGATATTCCTCGCGCATGGCGCGTTGGGCAAGCAAATGATCCATGACGGTTGCCGCGAGCTCCTTCAGAAACAGCTCCTGCTCCTGTGTCACCCCGTGCCTGGGACGGTCATCCAGCACGGCCACACTCCCGATTACATAGTCATCGGGTGAGCAAATGGGCACAGACACATAGAATTTATTATGGGGGTGTTGTTTGACGGACGAATCACTCTTGAAGCGGCCATCCTGCGTCAGGTCATTGACGACAAACATATCCCGTCCCTCATCGACGAAAGCATGCATGGCATGATAGCACAGGGTGACCTGGCGGCGCGGGAGCCGCTGCACCCCCAGCCACAGGGCTTTGGATTGTTCATGACTGCGCAGGGAGAGAGTCGGGGTTGCCTCGGCCACGATATGTTGCATGTCCCGGTCGAACAGGGATATGAGAGCGCGCCGAGCGTGCATGCGAACGGCGGCGAGCTGAGCGAAGACGGTCAAGACATTGTCGCGCGAGACGTTGGGTTGGTCGCCGACAGACTGCTGGGCAAACTTTTCCGTATCGGAATAGCCCCAGTAGGGAAGGTAGCTGCACCCCCGGAGCGATTAGTAGTGAGCTCACTACAGTAAGGGAAACGTACAGGTGCATCTCTCGCTCCCTTGCGCCCTCGCGGTTATAGGCGTATTTGCGCGGGCCGCCTTCCCGCCCGCGATCTGAGCTGCCGCGGGACTCCATGGTGGAGCGGGATTGGGGGGGGGGAGAGGAATCGAAATCGATGGCGAGGACGTCCAATGGTGACGAGACGGACAATAGGTAGAGAGGAAACCGTCTGTGGTCTGTGTTCTGTGGCCTGAGATCGAGATCGCCTGTGTTGGGGGGCAACGCTGAACGAGGGTGGTGGAAGAAGGGGTCTAGAAGAAGCGAGACGGAGGAAATGGGGAATATCGTGTGGCAGCCACCAGCGTCATAGGCGTGGCAGTAGCGGCCCGATGGTGATGGTGATGGTTCTGGTGAGTTGGGGCCAACGCGGAGATTATTCTCAATGACGATGATGGATGGGGGGGGGATGGGGATCAGTCGGTGGTGCTAACTGCGACTACTCGATGCTACTGGGTATATTATTTCCACCCGGTTCTGTGCCTGGCCGGGGGGGGGGGGGGGGTTGGCCACCGGCCACTTGTAACCGAGAAGAATGGCCGCGTGCTGTGACGTCACGGGTGGAGGGTCTCCGATTCGGTGCCGTCACTGGCCGGACGGCTCAGATCTGGACTGCATTTCCAGACCCTCGAGTCAGGCTGAGACATTCCTTCTGCTCAAATATCTATTTTGCCCGGCTCTCCCTGCATGACTTTATTCCAGTTGGTGCGTCTCGTCTGATGTCTCCTTCTACAGGTCAAAGTGTCTAGAGTCGAGTCTGGAGTCTAGACTAGACTGTCCGATCGACCCTGTCAACAGTTTTCTTCACAAAGTATCTCCGTGGATTATATCCGACAGACGCCCCTCTACGGAGTAACTACCACCCTGTCCTTCCGTGCCGCATTCCACCATCTCACCGCTCAATCAGTCCCCCTCAGCACTCATTCAGAGTACCATGTTCCCCCATCCCACTCAATTAAACGCTTGCCGTCTGAGTGGATGAAATCTGAATGAATGATGGGCAAGTGGATGAGGAACTTGGGAAAGTGGATCCGAGATGGGATAGTATCTATCTAGTGGGTTCTTTTCGAAGTGGGGTGGATGCGCTAGGACCCAGGGGACCTAGTACTACCTAACCTACTCTACCTTACTTCCTACCGACGTACGTATCTACTTTCTCTTTGTATCGATTGACTTGTATTTCTCTCTGAACTGCCTGGCCTAGGTACTAAGGTAGGTACTTTGTACGTACCTTGATACTACCATACCGTGTGGAGCGTAGAGTAAAATCTGTATAATATATGTATGAGAACTACGGAGTACATAAGGTCGAACGGAAGACAGTCGGACCGTAAGACAGGAAGTAATTTCCGGAGGTGGGGATTTATTCACTCATGCGTTTATCCACCTATTATTCCCATCAGGCTATATCATATATATATGCTTGCTATATGCTAGTATTTGATGATCTGATGATATGACATAACATGCCATGACTGGATAAATGGATGAATTGATTGATTGATTGATTGATTGATTAATTTTTTTTTTTACCATATTTGATTGGTTGTGTATTGTTTCGTTTTCTATTGTTAAACCCTTACTTAGTTGCTTCCTGTAGCATAAGGTATCTATCTATCTATCTATAACTATATCTACTGTACTATACTTACTTTAGCAAGGTGTCTAATGTAGTACCTACTTACCTTAGGTACCTTACCTACGGTATTTACTTATATACCTGTACCTAAGGTATAGTACCTAGATCTACCTAGATATGGAGAATACTTACTTATGGTTACCCATCCATCTGGGCATGTCCTCAACATTCACTTTGATGGTGAAAGGAAGTACCTCAGGTATGTGATATACCCTACTCTAACCTACTCTAGCCTACTCTACCCTACCCTATGCCCAGTACCCTGGTCCTTTATCCTTCATCCTTTATCCTTCGTCCTTCATCCTTCATCCTTCATCCTTCATCCTAGGTATATACATACATACATACATACATACATACATACAGTCCATGATATAGCTGGATCTGGATCTGGATCTAGAAAGGAATTATAACCATCACCGCCTAAAGCCTGATACATCAGCATGCATAATAACACCCGGTGTCTATCTGGTGTCTGGTGAGGGATGCATGCAGCTCGGGCGGAGGCCTGATGCCTGAGGCCTCAGGCCTGAAGTCCGAGGCTAACGCTAATGCGAATATGGAAAGGAGCACAGGGAGAGAAATCGAGAGAAATCGAGAGAAGGGGGGGGCGAAAAAGAAAACCCAAGATGGGGATTAGGGGACATAGAAAAAAAAAAAAAAAAAAAAGACAAAGAGAAAAGAGCGTGGGATGCGTAGGATACGGGAGACGTGAGGGGGGGATTCATCCAGTTTAGGAATACAATGATATAATATGAATACCAAAGTAAGTATGTACATACCTATGCACTAATGTGTCTATGTGTGCGTGTGGCTAGCTACTTACGGCTATCTACCTACTACCTACTATCTAAAGTAACTTCCTACCTATTCCAGTAATATCGGCAGTTGTGCCAGGGTGCAAAATTGGATAAAAGGGGTGATATTCATTCATGACTCCATCAATCAGTCAACTGATCAACCAATCAACCAGTCATCAGTCCAGTAATAATATGTTATGAGATGATATCAACCCTGACAAGGATTCGGCAATATCACGTGAAACGTTCAAGGTCAGGACAATAAAAGGTAGGAAAAATCCACGAAAGATACCGAGCACATGAGTGACAAAAGAAAGAATAAGAATACTCAATATCAACATATCATCAACATCAACATCAACATCAAAAGAAAAAAAAAATATCACTCTAAACAAGGAGATGCGCACTTCTGCCCGGTCCCAAGTCCTCAACAAACAAAACATAAAAAAAAAACAAGACATGAAAGATCATCAGAAACAAGAAGAGTGTCAAAAAAGCAGAAGACAAACAAAAAGACTGGGAGCCGGGACAGACGCGGTTGTATCAAGCAAGAAACACACAATATAAAATCATCCTCCCGCTCTTCCATCCCCGTCATTAGACACGTACGAAGCTAAAGCCGCAGCTTTCGCCGCCTCCGCTCGTTCTTCAACTTCCCCAGATATCGAAGTGTAATAATCGTCATTAGCCCTGCCGCCTGCTCAGCTCAGCGCAGACCCCCGTCCCCCATTAGGTACCGTTTTCGTCCCATCCCGTCGTATTACCAACTCCTGCTCGTCTAGCGAGAACTCCGTGCTGCGCGGTCATGTCTATCGTGGAACATCAGAAACAAGAAAAAAGATTCGTCCGGAAGACGTGGCCATGGAACCCTGTAGATTACAGACTCATCGTCAGCCACTCCCACTCCTGACTGGCGCCCTGCCCGCCCGCAATGCTGTGGTTGGCTGGGTTGGCCGCGGCCGGGGGCATCGCGGGCGCCAACGGGACCACCTTGGAGCGGCCGCTCGACGTCGTGCTGGATTTGCTCGCCTCCTCGGCAGCCTCCACGTCGGTGGCCTTTTCCAGCCGACGCTGACGCTTCGGCGCCATCTGCACTGATCCCCGAGTCTGTCCTGGAGAGCTCGTCGAGGCCGGGCTGGACTTAGGCGGCGCGGCCGCGATAGGCACCACGCCGGCGGCGCGGCTGGAAGAGGAACCACCACCGACCGGCATGGCGGGCGGAGACTCCGAAGACGCCGTGCCACTCTGAGCGCGGCTCGAGGTGGGTGTCGTGACCGTCGCCTGCTGCACCGAGTTCTTGCGCGCCGACTTCTTCGACGACCGGGACGTACCGACCGCCAGGCTGTTGGCGCTGCTGCGGTTCCGCTTCTTGATCACGTCCGTCTTGAGCGACAGCGGCCGCACCACGCCGTGCAGCTTCAGGAACAGCCCGCAGGCATTACACAGCGGCTGCCCCTCGGGGTTGCGGCGCCACAGCGGGGTGGTCTGCGTGAAGCAGTTGGTACACGTGGTCGGGCCGCTGCTCTCGCCGCTCTTCGACCCGCCCGGGCTGGCGGGCCGGGACGGTACGGCACTGTTCAAGCCTGACTCGGGCGGCGTGTTGGGCGACGTGTGCGTGCCTCCGTTCATGCTCTGCCGCAGCAGCTGGGGTGCGTTGGGCGTCGAAGCCGTCCGGGCGATCTTCTGCCGGCGGGGGTCCTGCTCGCGGTTGCGCACCTCGCTGACCGAGGCCGCCGATCCGTGTGTGCGGCCCAGACTGCCGTTCTGGTTCCACTCGCTCGGGGTATCCATCATGTCGGCGGATCCAATCGTCACATGCTTGCGATGCTGCGCGCTGAACCCGGGCAGAGAGTGGAACGATCCGGGGAACTGAGCGTCCCACTGCATCCCGCCGTTCAGATCGGCGGCGTCGTCCAGATCGGTCGGCATCGGCAACCCCGCACGGTCGGAGAACTGGTTCCCGTCCTCGTCCTCGTTATCCGAGTCCGCTCCAAAGCTGAACATGGCCGCGTGCGAGGCCCCAGTCGAAAAATCGCCCGGACCCAGCACCTGCGTGGGATCCACGTGCTGCGGCTGGGGAATCGGATAGCCCGGCGAATGCATCGACGAGGCGTGGCCACCGTGGTGCGACTGGTCTTGGCTCTGGTTGAACATGTATCGGGGCTGCAGCGACGCAGACAGGTTGGAGCGCTGCGTGACGTAGTTCGGCACCCGTCGCTGCGTGCGCGTATCCACCGACGGCATGTCGAAGAACATGGAATGTTCGCCGTCGTACGCGGGCTGCGGGGTCGATGCGGTCGATTGGTACCCCGACGGCGGTGGGGAGAAGAAATCGGTCGAGTTCAGCGAGGACGCCACCGGGGTGTGGGCGTACAGGTTGGCAAACGGGTTGCCGGACGTCATGGGGGAGTCGGTCGGAGAGAAGGTGAACTGTGTCTGATAGGGACCGGCGGAGGTGAGAATGGGGTCCTCGCTCAGGCCGTAGGTATCCAGCCCAAACGGCACGCCGGGCGAGGTGTGGTTGTGGTGGGAAGGGTGGTGGTTGTGGTGCAGCGCCGCGAAGGCCGACGAGGACGCATCCAGGGTGTAGTCCGGCACACCGCCCGACAAATCCGGGTCATGGGCCAGCATGGCGTTCGACACGGGCGGCACCTGGGGCGACGACTCGGCGGGGCGTTTGCGGGTGGGCACCTGCAAGTTGAAGAACTGGCGGTCGTCGATGCTCGTCTTGCGCACGCGACGGGGCACGTAGCCGAACTCGCTGTTCTTCCGCTGATCCTGCGGCGGGTGGGGGAATGAGGCCGGGACGGGGGTGGGCTCGGCGATTTGGTCCTTGCGGGACTTGATCGGGATGGCCGCGGATGTCGCCTCGGATCCTTTTGTGGCCTGTGGAGAGGGGTGGTCGGAGGGGACTCGAAGGGGACAATGAAATCGTCCAGGTTCATGGGATCCACGGAGAGATCGGTGGAGGGGTGGGAGGGGAGGGGATCGCGATCGGTGAGACGTAGTTGAGCAATGCCACTAGGGCCGGAGATGCTGTGCCTCGCAGCGAGACTATGACACACAGACTGCGATCAGCGGTCCATTGAGCGATCGCAAGAGGGGAGAGGGACGACCTACCGAGACTGGTGCACACGTTCCTGTTCCTTGCGTTTCATGCTCATGGCCATCATACGCCAGGTCAGGTTCTCCATGCGCTCCTGGTTGGGCAACTGGGCCTTGGTCCTAGAATACAGCTTCCATATCTGGGTGGCCAGAGGGTCCTTCCGTTGCAACTCGTCGGGAGAGTCAATTCCGCCACGGGGGGTACCGGCACTCCATTCGGGAAAGAGGGAGTCCTGCAGCAGGGTGGTATCGTTGGCGTTAGAGGAGTCGGCGGGACTGATTGGCGAGACGAAGGAGAAGTCGTCGGAGAGCTGGGAGGAAGAGGGAAGGGCGTGGAGGGGGTTGTGGGTGTGGGTGGTGGAGGAAGAGGAACGGTCGGCATCGGCGGAATCCTGGCGAGAAGGGAAGGCTGCGGATTGTGTTGGTCGCACGCCCACTGCTGCTCCTCCTCCTCCTCCTCCCCCCAGGGTCAACCCAGACATGATGGTGGTTGGGCTGAGGGGTGGGTGGTTGCGGTGGTACCGGTTTGAGGTGCGGCGGGCGAGATTCCTTATTGGGGCGAGTCCGGGCGCGAAAAAAAGAGGGTCCCCCGAATGAGAACAGGAAAAGAGCCAAAAAAGAAAAAGAAAAAAAGAAAAAGAAAAGACAGAGGCACGCAGCAACCGGAGGAAGAGATAAGGGGAGCTGCAGCGCGAGAGATAGGGAAGAATGGAGGGGGGGGGGGGGGGTGTTGAAGCAACGAGGCCGAGATAAGGCGAGGGAGGGGATGATGGGGGGAGGGAGAGGAAGAGAGAGAGTCGGAGTAGATTAAAGGGCGGATAGTCGGTCACAGGAGGGGGAGAGAAGAATGAATAGGCGGGTTGGCGGAAAGGCGGCCGCACGAGGAATTCCAGGCTACCCGCCGTAAACGACCGGCGAGACCCTGGGAAAGGAAAAAAAAAAAAAAGTGTTTGGAGGGAAGTACCACCACTAGTCCTTTGGTCCTCGTCCCTAGTAGCAGGATTTAAGTCGTCGCAGTCGCAGTAGCAGCAGCAGTACCGTACCGAGTACTAGTACTACTGACAACTGAAAAGGTGGTGCAGGAGAAACAACGGGAGCTAGGATCGGGGCAAGGTCAGTGGTGAGATCAATCCAATCCAATCCCATCCCATTCCATTCCCAGATGCATGGCGCTGCATGGGCTGCATCACCCCGGCTTTCCCTTTTTGTTTTTTTCTTTCTTTTTTTTTTCTTCTTCTTTCCTGAATCGGGGTTGGTCGTTTACACTGCTTTCCTGGGTTCGTTCCTTCTGGGATCCTTCCGCGAGCAGGGGTGTGCGTACCTTTAGTCTATAATAATTATAATAGCTATAATGATTATAAAATAATAATATAAGGGCGATGCGTCCCCGGGGTCGGGTTCGTGGCGGATAATCCTTTTATTTTCTTGGGTGGCGGACAATGGCCGAGAGGAGGGAGGAGGGGGAAGAGATGACCGAATGGCTGGACGGCTGCAGACGGAGGAATGAGGGCGAGGAGGATGCTGATGATGCGGATGGCTGACCAGGCGGCGGGGGCTAGACCCTCCCACTGCACATGACGCGGTGGCAGCGCGACTCTGGGGAGATCGGAATACAGGAAAGTCAAAGGGGAAGGGAAGGGTAAGAATCAAAGGAATTGTGAATTCAATTGACGGAGGCGGGATGAAGGGGGAAGGAGGGAAAGAAGAGAGAGGGAGGGAAAGGAAGGAAGGGAATAATGAAGAGGGCGCCGAGGAGGGGAAAGGCGATGGATGACGGAGGAAGCGGACGATGGACCTGATCCATCCACTCAGTATAATAATACTTTAATAAGGTTGGGCCTTGAAGGAAGGAGGGGGGGGGGGGGGGGAATAATAAGTCAGTCTCAGAAGAAGAATAGTACGTCGTGGTAATAATTATAATAATAAATAATAAGAACAATAAAAATAATAATAATAATCATCATCATCATCATCATCATCATCATCATCATCCTCATTAATTAGTAGTATATTATTACCACTATGTATTTCCATCATCTGGCTGTAGTGTAGCCCTTCAGCCCCTCAGATTCAAGGCGTCCAGGTTCGACTTACAGGCAAGTATCAGAGTCCAGAGGTGTCACTGACCGCGAATTACCAGGCCAACGATTGGCTGCGGCGGCGTGGAGGTTTCCCGTGGAAACTGGAAACAGACTCGAGATGGATTCATTCATTCACTCCATGGCTGCTCCTCCTCCACCGGGCGGGGGGCAACAAATTAATTCGGGCTGAACCAGTCACAATCCCCGTCGGGAACCAGCGAACGACTGCTGCGCGCGGCCGCTGATTTGCTGCTCGAGGCTGGGCGGTATTTTTAGCTTCCCGCCGTAAGAACTGAAGTCTTGGGCGTGTAGCAGAACAACAGCAACAGAGATGGAGATCGGGAATAGCTGATGGAAGGAGATGGGCTGATTGATTGACTCCAAGTGGCAGCGATCATATTTATACAGCATCCTGCACGACCTCTCCAACCTCCAACCTCCAACCTCCAACAGCGTGCCCCTCCTTCTGCTACCAACAGTCTACCTAGTAACTACTTACTTACTTATAGGATACACGGTAATACAGTGACGGGGAGCTAGCGGTCACGGGCTAGTACGGGCAGCCCAGCACGGACTGGGGAGGTTTCTCGAAGCACTAACGGTGCAGTAGCGCCTTCCGTTTAGATTAATCCATGCCTGCCTGCCTGCCCGCTCGCTGGCTGGAGTCCTCGTCCTCGTTTCCTCGTCTCCTCGTCTCCTCCTCCTCCTCCTCCTCTTCCTTCATCATCTCCAACGGCAAGACCATCCTCCGAACAAGCGCGACCCGACACCGTCTTAGACCGTGTCCGTCCTTCCCCCAGGCCGATCACAATCAATTAATGCCATTGTACTACCGCGCGACATACATCATGATGAGCGGTCGACACGACGACACGACTCCAGCCGGACGGCGAACTAGAGACTAAGGCAGCAGACCGATCCGGATCCTGCTGCGGTGCCAGGAATTGGCTCGCCCCCGCCCCCACCAATCACCGTCCGCCCTCCGACGGCAATGGCCGACCGTCTGTTGCTCTCGCAGCCTATGGTAAAACAATCCGGGTTGGATTCCTCCGGCATGCCCTGCTCTGCTACTGCTGTTGCTACTGCTGTTGCTACTAATGCTACTGCTACTGCTGCTGCTGCTGCTGCTGCCCTGCCTACTTGGGTTACGGACACGATCGCGTTCCCAGGTCGCGCGTCGCGATGGCCCCCTCGGGATGAGATAGATGGCTTCCCGAAGGCCTTCTCCATCCCGGCCCGTCACCGTCCAGACACTGTGGCCAAACGTGTTGCTGATGCCGTGAGGCGAGCCGTAGTTCAGACGGCGAGAAGCGTGGGACGCACCGTGGATGGTTTCACCCCTCGCCGTATCGTCGGCCGAGATCCATATAAAACTGGTGCTATGGCCGGGGATGAGGGGATCTGAGCGCAGCATAGTCGTCCCTAGTCACTACCTTAACCCCCTACCTTGATGGAATCAAATCTAAGCTTGGACTGTGCACTTGCATGCATGATCCGTCTAACCTGGTCTGTCCCATCGGCCCGATGGTTAATTTATCCGTGTCCACTTGGGGTCGCCTCTGCAGGTGAGGTTGCTGGTCGACTTGGAGATGGCAGCACCCGGCCTGCGCCTGCTCCGCTCATCGGACCTGGTCCTCCCCTCCGGGCCTCGCTGGGAGACGGGAGCAGTAGGAAGGAGCCTAGAGGAACACGACGGGGGTGACAGACAGACAGACCAGCCACCACGTCGTCGTCCCGAAGACAGCGCTAGGCGGCGGGGCGGACTGGTCGCCGCCCATCGGGTTGTCCGTCTGGCCCGGACGACTCCCGAGTGCGCAAGTGGTGCTGGAGTCTCAAGTCTCGAGAGTCGAGTCAGCTGCGGAACACGCCCTACGGTCTAAGGTCCGCAGCCAGGTGGCTACCACTACCGTCAGGCACATGGCGGCCACCGTCCAGTCCAGGCGGCCCAATTTAAGGTTGCTCGTTTCTTCCGGGCAGGGTGGACTCGCCGCCGTCCTCGTGGTGGTGTCGCGGCGAGGCCCAGGCCGGGGAATGTATCCTCGGATCCTGATATACGGACGGACAGGCCACAGGGACCACCCACCCCTGTGCGAACGGGCTTAAGCTTTGTTGGAATCGTTCCTCCACGTGAGGAGGCTAACCCGACCGAGCAGGAGCCTGGCCAGGGTGAAGCCAGACGCCCAGATGCAGGATAATGCAGAACCCAGAGGCCAGAGAGAGAGCTGCTCACCGAGAGCTGGGCTGCTGCGCGCCATCCCTATCTTACCCGATCCGCGTATGAGCCGGTAATGGGCTGCGGCCTGGTCCGTCCTGTCACGCCCGTTTCACGCCCGTCACAAGCATCGACTAAACTCCCGGTCGGCGGCGACGCTTCCCTGCGCCTGCATGTACCTACTGGATTCTATGGCTAGCCCGCCAGCACCACGCAGCCAGTGCGAGGCCCCGAGCACACACCACTACGCCCATTCCCTACAGCCTCATCCCCCTCCCTCCCTTTGTTCTGTTCCACTCCGAATTTCAGGAATATTAATCAGGAGCTCCGTATCTACTCTCCTTGACTCCCGTGCTCGGTGGAGGTGGATCCACCCGTGGTTGCGGGGTCCCTGGCCACCTGCCTCGACCGGAGCAGAGACGTTCGAGCTCCCTGCAGACCTGGACGACCCTGGGCGGCGTGAAGTATACTGCTGACTGCAGCCACTAGGGGGGTCCCTCGCTGGCCAGAGCCCTTTTTGGTGCAGTAGCCATCCATAGCCTCGTTTGGGAGACTCGTCACGACTGCCTCGGCCTCCAGCCTCGTACGGGAGCCCCGATCGTCGAGATGATGACGAGGTTCATCATCATCTCCTCCTGAAGACCCATCATCCCTATCCCTTGCGGCGGCGACAGTGCACGCGGCGTGGAGAAGCACGGTGCAAGAGGCGTCCCCGGTGTTCCCCAAACCCCTGGCGGTGGCGACTTTGGAGGCATCGTAAGCAATCTGAGGGACCCCGGCGTGCGAGCGATATTGCCAAGCCCGGACAGGGTTGTCCAGGGAGACCGTTAGCTTTGGTCGTCCTTCGGGTTCGGTCCAAGTGGGTGTCCTGTCGGAGCATGGATGAGAAGGGCAAGCGAGCACAGGACAGTCGCTTGTCCCTGTTGTGTTGACATGGCTGCAGTGCAGTGACCTCAGCCCGTCCCTGTCGACCCAACCAACCTGAGTCTCTCTCCCTCCCTCTCTCTCTCTCTCTCTCTCTCTCTCTCTCTCCCTCTCCAATTCCATGGCTCTCAAGACTGGTTCCCAAGGCACGCTTGCCCTCCGTTTCGGCCCCACGGGAGGAACAACCGCGAGGTCCACCGCGCTAGTGCTTGATACTTGACGACCTCCCACGTTACCCACGATGGCCAGGAGATAACAGATGCTGATAAGGTGATAAGCATGTAATTAGCCGTGGTCATCTCGGGGCCAATGGCCGCGCGCCGATCGGGAAGGAGTGCAGCGACACCAGAGGGGATGTGTTGATGACCAGTGACCGATTTAGATGGCTCAGACGGTTCGGCGCTCCTCGGGGGGGGGGGGGGGTGTCCTGGCTCAGTCGATGACCTGCCAAAAGTACGAGCCTCCTGGGAGTTTCTGGGGGGGTCCTGGAGGGGGCAAATGTGGCCCTGGTGGCCATAGCCGGGTCAGCTACATTGTAACATGTGAATGGGATCGTATCCATCAGGGACGGGGAAAGACAACCGCAGCCAGTGAGGAGGCGGGCTGAGGGCGTGGCAAAAGCAATAGAGTTCGACGGGCAGAAGAAGGAAGGAAAGGCGGGCGAGTCAGTGGCGTCCGGGCTGACTCACCCGCCCCCCGCGGCCTTAGGCCTCGTCAACACGGTAAACTCCGTGGGCTGACTGCCATCCCAGATCGGCATCTCCTACCTCATCGCCCTCCTCCACATACCCAATCACACCTCCCTCATGTCCTGTGACGCCTGCGCGATGAACGGAGTGCACAGTGCACAGTGCACAGTGCACCTTACACAGTCCTCTCCAGAGTCAGTCGTCGAGCACTACTTCAGTTGCTCCCTTTTGGTCCGGATGCAGCATCCATCATCCGGCGGGCCGCTCGAAGGGGAAACCGGTCATGGGGCCTGCAGGCGTGTGCCTGAGCTAACCCGCCCGAGTAAGTCCACCGTCGCTAGAAGTGTCGCAGGAGTGTCGCCCGGGTGGCCGTCGTCTGCAGTGCGGCAAAGAGAGGCCCCAGTCCGCCACGGTAAACATCGATTTACCATGATCATAGACGGCTGGCTTCAGGGGCGACCGGCATCCCTGGATAGCGCGGTAGGGATCTCGTCGCATCATGCAATCTCGAAATCAAGCAATGCACCGACCGCCCGGCCGGGCGTACGGGGACGATCTGGAGCGTCATGGCGAGGCAAGCCAAGGCAACCCGGAAGGCAGCCGGAGGACATCCGGGTGATGCTCCGTGTCGTGCTGCACGTCCGGACTCCAGGCTCGGCAGTTAACACCCCAGGATCACAGTAAGTCCCTCGCTTGGAGGGGGTGGATCATAGCGGGATGCACCGCTGTCAGCCCGCGTCAATCGCGCGGTCGCTCATAGGCATCAGGAATGCTGTCGCGCATAAACATTCTGACGAGGATAACTCCTCTTCCGGCAGAGGCCCCCCCCACACTAGGGTCATGCGGTTTTCTCACGGCTGCAGCGGGGGGGGGGAGGCGACTGGGATACTCAGGCGACAGGCGACAGGCGACAGGAATCCAGCCCGATCCCTGCAGGCGAAACTGCATTGCATCGCCGTGGCAGTAGCATGTGCTGCGTGCCAGCATGCCGGAGGACGGTTGTCCAGGCGGATGGATGGGCTGATGAAGCTGACAGGCGGTCGAAATGATCGCATGAATTGATCTGACGCCAGACGCGACCGGGGGAGATTTCAGACATGATGGTCGGGTGTCCTCGTGTCGGACTGTCGGTGCTCACTTACTCAGTAAGTAAGCGTGCGTATGCCGTGCCGCATCGACGAGGCTAGCACGAACGGATGGGTCTGGATGGGGAATGGGGAGATGGGGAGATGGGGAGATGGGGAGATGGGGAGATGGGGAGATGGGGGATGGGAGAGGGCGTGGAGATAGTATGGGGGAAACGGGGGCCTAGAGTCGAGGTTAATCGTATCATATCCACATTCCACATGTCCACTAGTAGTAGTAGTAGTAGTAGTAGTAGTCGTAGTAGTAGTAGTTATAGTACTACTACTACTAAGAATAATGTGGACGGACAGAAGGGCGAGGAAGTCTAAACCAACAACCTGAAGATGAGCCGAGAGACAGACAGACAGACAGACAGACAGACAGACAGACAGACACCATGTCCTTCTGTCCACAACAACAAGAAGCACGAAAAACTTCCAGCCCGACCATTATATAGCAATCCCACGGTCCTCGGCGCCCAAGGCACAGCTTCGGATTGGCTCGATAAGGCATTGTCTGCCTGCTGCTCGCTCGCACGCAATTGAATGACTGAATGGCGGTCAGGCCCTCACTGTCTGTCCCTGCTACCCTGTTATCCTTGTTAATTATCTGAGGACTAGGAATGAAGACTAGGAGAGCAAACAAAGAAAGAAGAAAAAGAAAAGAAGAAAAAGAAAAGAAGAAAAAGATAGGGCAGGGAAGGAAGTAAAGCAGGTGTCTAGTTAGGTCGGTCAGTTAGTCAGTTGGCCAGTCAGTCGGTCCGTGAGGGCAATCCAATCCAATCCAATGCAATCCAATGGAGTGCAATGGGACGGACACACGCTGGGTTTTGTACTCTGTTTGGGCTGGCTATCAGGCAGGCAGTTAAGGACAGAGTTTACGATAGATATGGATGGGGTAAGATGGGGTAGGGTAGGATAGGATAGGATAGGATAGGGTAGGATAGGATAGGATAGGATAGGATACGAGGGGGCGATAGATAATATTAAATAAACAATATGAATGATAACCGGCGCATATTCTCGCCAACACAGCCTTGCAGTTAGTTACTTTACTTCAGCGATAAGACCTGGATGAACCCAGGGCAAGGGCACGGACACGTCACGATAATCAACTATAATCAACCATATTGTGTTTGCCAACTGCTACTGCTGCAGCTGCTGCAGCTGCATCCTGGGGGTAGTGTTAGATAGATAGAGAGAGAGATAGGGGCAGTTTTAAACTAACTAATCGGTCAGTCAGTCAGTCACATCACATCACATTATATAGTATCACTGTATCAGTTGCGGGTGTTTATCAAGTTAGTTAGTTAGGTAGTTAGTTAGTGGTAGCTCCGGGTGCTGATAAAGCAAAATAATTATATTTATGGAGAAAGATAGTTATGGGGGAAGAAGAATAGTTAGTAAGTACTAATTAAAGTGAGGCTGTTTTTTTTTTTTTTTTTTTTTTTTTTCTCTCCGCATTATCGGGATTCGGACTGGACTGGTTGGTCTGTCCCCCTGTTATCAACCCCAGATGAAATTATCTATCTATCAATTAACTAACTACTCCGTATCAGTCTCGCATTGTTGAGTAGGTACTACTATATATATATATAGTCCCCTCATACACTAGTTACTATTTACTATACTTTTCTTCAATCAGCATTTATCTGCCGGGAAAAAAAAAAAAAAAAAAAAAAAGCAAGGATAAATATCTCTCTACATATATTTTCCCCTGTTCTCTTCTCAAATAGATACTATAGCTAGTACCTAGTAACTGATAAGCGATCACTGATAGTACTAGAAAGTATATATATATATAAACTACACCTCCAATCCCCAATCCCCATCCTCCACCTCCATCCGCATCTATGTATTTGGGTGGGTAGTAGTTAGTAGGTCCAAGTACCTAGTTCAGTTAGTTAGTATCATATTCTTATCGATGTCGATCACTCTCCTCTTTCTTCCTCTTATCACTCACCCACCCACACACCCCCACACCGAATCAAACCTTCGTGTTCTCGTTCCTACTCGTATATTTGCCAGTCGGCGCTTCCTGTTTATCTCCGATATTAGGCCGTTGTTGTGCAGATACTAGATAGTGATGTGATGAGATAGCGATTGCTGTCCGCGTCTGGTCTGGGGGATCGGAGCGGGGGTTGATAAGACGGTCTCCGGCTGGCCTTTTTTTTTTTTTTTTTTTTTAATCTGGATCTTTATCTCGATGTTTCTTGGTGGGTCGGTCGGAGGGTTTTGGTATGGGTGGTTGGCTGGGTGGTAGATTGGTAGGTTGGTAGATTGGTAGATTGGTAGATTGGATCATTGGAAATTGGTAGATTGGTAGATTGGAAATTGGTAGATTGGTAGATTGGTAGATTGGTAGATTGGTAGATTGGTAGATTGGTAGGTTGGAAATTGGTAGGTGAGTAGGTGAGTAGGTGGGTTAGGGTAGGGTTGTCTATTTACCTACTATATACTATATTTATCTGTCTGTCTGTCTATCCAGAGGATAAGAGTCAATTTGGAAAGTTCAATTGAAGTTCTTGCTCCCGGTCATGTCATCTGTCTCTCCGTACACCGTCTACACGATAGCTATCACAATGGTGAAGCAGGGCAGAAGAAAGTAGGGTGGGTGGGTAGAGCAGCTGTAGTAATGGCAATAGGAATAGCAATAGCAAGAGCAATAGCAATAGCAATAGCAATAGCAATAGCAATAGCAATAGCAATAGCAATAGCAATAGCAATAGCAATGGTAGCAGCAGCAGCAGCAGCAGCAGCAGCAGCACTACCTAGATACCTACCTCCCTCCCTCCCTCCCTACCCCCTCCATGCAGAATCCAGCGTAAATCAGGACTTAGCCAAAAGATCGCCCGCGCAGAAGAGCTGAGCTGAGCTGAGCTGAGCTGAGCTGAGCCTGAAGCCAAGTCAAACCAAACCAAACAGACCAGGATCGGACATTTGGTCCAATCAGGACGGGGGACGGTATCATTGTGTGGTAAGTAGAACTTGCTGATATATCTAGAGTACTCCGTACTACTAAGAGAGGGGTAGTGTCTGGGGTAAAGAAAGAGCAAATACTATAATATTGTTTTGACATGAGATTAGGGGGGGTGGGGGGGGGATGGTTTCTTAGTGGATGATGGAGGAGATGGATGATTTAGTATAGAATAGGTATTGTAGGTAGGTGGTATGATTGATGGTGATTTACAGAGAGGAGAGAGAGAGAAATGGAGAGCGATGGGTGGGGAGTGGGGGAAGATGGATAAACACAGACATAGATATAGATATATAGATTGTGAGGATATGGTATATATGATAGTCCAGTCTGGAATAACTTCTACTTATTGATTATGCAACCGTGACTAGCCGACGGGGGATAGTCAAGGGTTCCAAGGGAGTGGGTTAATAGATTAATAGATAAATCAATATAGAGATAAGAAGGTAAGTAATATGCCACAAGAATATTACATATTGACACGTCGTCTCTAGATCAAAGATAGTAGAGAGATAATAGTGGTAAGTAGTATCACACACACACACATCATGTTATTTATATAGTAGCACCGATCATATAGATCCGATCAAGACTTTAACCAATCATTCGTACTCTTCCTTCCTGTATTCTTGCCTGGCCCGTCTTCGCATAGATGTATATCACATCATGGTTTCCCAGGAGAGAAGGGAGAGGAGGAGAGGATGAGAGGTCACTCTCTCTGGGTCTGGAGAAGTAAAATAAACCGACACAATTGCCAGCATGCGCGGTACCAAAAACCTACCAGATCCCACGCAAACATGGCCCTCAGGTCATTGATACCAAACAGGGATAAATGTCGCGATTCGAATTCTTTTGATTCGACCCAGCTTTTATTCGGAATTGGGTACTCCACGCTAATTAATGCATCTGAGAACAGGGGTATACTGTACCTACACAATAGTATTGTCGTCTTGGGGTTTTATTTCAGGGGGTGAGATTGCTTACTAGCTTGCGGGCTTTTCTTCCGATACGAAGCCGAGTGGACGATGAGACTCAAGATAAAGCAAGTGATTTCAACATAAAGTGAAGACGACAGGAGCCATCACGCGCACAGGATTACGGCCATTTCAGATCTAATTGATGCAGTTCACCTGCCCTCTATTCTATGTAGTTAAGGTATAGTATAGTGTAGTGTAGTAGGTTTATATCCGGTCTAGGTCAAGCAAACACAGCAAAGGAAAAAGAAAAAAAAGAAAGCGTAACATGGCAAGATCCACCCACCCATGTGTCCATGACAACCCTGCATCATGCATTGTGGGTCATGTCATCGAAACACAGCGCAAACAAAGTCATAAGCGCCAGGTCCGATCCAGACTAGTCTTCAAGCAACGACTGGACCGAGAACCGGTAACGCCACGGAATAAGAACCAACAATAAGGGGAAAAAATAAAATAAGAATAATAAATGTCAAATCAAATCAGACACACCCGTCCCGCTGGTGGCTAGATGCGTAAGCTCGTGAAAACCGCCGTGGATATCCAAAGCCAATATGAACAGAAGAAAGTGAAGCAACAGATAAAAAAAAAATCTAATCCTCATTCCTGACACAAGTCATGTGGCAAAAGAACAAGTTAACCTCTCAAGAAAAGCATAAAGAGGCGTACGAAGGATAAAGATTGAAGATACCGCCCAAGATCCTTTGCGCCCGCTAATGACCAGCTGGTAAAGTAAAGGTTGTATGCATGGATGGAAGACGATGGGAAAGAAGCGAAGCGAAGCGAAGGTGATGCAATACGGCGCACAGGGTATTAGTAGCAGATGCGTTGATGCTTTTCGGAACGATCGTCATTCCGCTCCGTTCATGAATGCGGAGAATGCCCCGGCCCCGGGGGCCCCATGGGTGACTGGCTGCCGAAGCCGGCCTGCTGTCCGGGATCCGGGTAGATGGGGTACGGCACCACGTTCATCGGAGACATGGTGTTGACGTCCTGCCACGAGTGGAAGCCCATCGGTGTCGGCTGCCCGGGGTACGATACCGAGATGCCCGTCTGTAGATCCGCCGCGGGAGGGCTCTGGGGGTTGACTGGCGCGCCGCTGAAGGACTGGGCCGGGCTGGTCATCCTCCGCTTGAGATCCGCCGGCGAGGGCTGCACGAATTGCCCGGGGGCGGGATACGGTACCATGTCGGCTGCGGGTGCCGGGAACGACATGGTCCGCGTGGGAGGCACCTGCCAGACGGTGCCGTCCGGTTGCATCGCGAACGTCGGCGCTGGCGTGAGACCCTGCGGCTGTGACGGGACCGTAGGCGTCCCTGGGAGGGGGGAGGCGGTGGGCATGGGCGCCATTGGGTTGTGTGCTGGACCCCACGGCATGTTCATCATCGTTTTCCCGGCCGACATGTTCGCCAACATCTGCGGATCTGCTGCCATCGTCGTGTACTCGTCCCACGGGACCGACGGGTCGAGGGCGGGCGGCGACGCGAATTCGGCGGAACCGACAGTGCGATCTACTGGATCCTGTGTCAGCACACGCACGTTTGTTCCCGGTCGTTGCGGCGGCCACCAACCTGGCGCAAAAGGTGCCATTGGGTTGCCTGGAAAGGCGGCGGGGTTGAATCCCGCCACGTCCTGACTGGAACCCAACGGCATGGGCTGATAGGGGAAGAATGCCTCGGCTTGGTCGACCCCCGAAACATTCGGTGGGGACGATGACGCCGTGGACGGGTCCGTGGAGGCAGTGTCTAAACGCGAGCTGGGGCGGGATTTCTTCTCCACAGGAGGCTGTTGGTCGACGGGGAAAAACTGACACTCCTTCCGCAGGCGAATGCAGTTTTCGCATCGTCCCTGGGAATCATCCGGCGCCACGAGGCATCGGATCTTTCGTCGACGGCAGTGGACTATCGCACGACACATGAGCTACACGAGCACGCAAGACAGAGAGACCGGGGTCGAGGCTTACCACATGCGACGGAGGTGCGATGGTATCCCAGCTTATTGCGCTTCTTGTCCGCAGACGATTCCATGGCTGCAGCTTGTGGACTTGTAGTGGGTGTTAGGTCCTCGACGACGGCGGGCATAGCCCAGAGAATATGCTGGAGAGACGAGGAGGTGAGGTCGAGGGCGCATTAATCGCACGGGGACGATGCAATGTGTCGACGAGGTCGGAGCGGGAGGACGGCGTGGTCTCGAGAGACTGGAGATGGATGTAGAATAATGATGGGGTCGATATGATGCAATGCGCGAGGGAATGCGTCAGGTGAAGGTAGTCGTCGTACGTATTTCGAGCTGCCCGTTTCAGCAGCGAGACGGGGTAATATGCGAGCCAGCACCAGACGACGAGAATCAGGGTTGAATTGTTTCAACGGGGGAGCCAGCCAGCAGCGCGTGCACTTTGAGGGGGAAGGGTTGAGGGGGGAAGAGGGGGGGGGTGCGATTATGATGGTCGTCGCGTCGTGGGTGTCGTGGAGGGGAAAGCGGAGGGGAGGCAGTGATGGTGGAGTGGTTGGAGAGGGCGATTTCGGGGCGGGCAGGGCGTTGATGGAGGGGAACGGGACCCGGTCTGCAGGTTAAGATAATTAGGGGATTTAGTCAGGATCCAATAGCCGGGATGTAGATAATCAACGGGGGCAGGGGGGGGGATCCCCATGGGCGTGCGGAGGGGAGTTCAATCAATGAGACGAACGGGGGGGATTAAGCATGATGAAGAGGGAGTGGGTAGGGGAAGAGGAGGAGTTGAAGCAGTGAAGGAGTTGGCGTGAAAGTGGAAGTGGAAGGGGAAGGGGAAGGGGAAGGGGAGGCAAGTGGGTGTGGCCGGCCAGTCAGTGGTTGAGGGTCGAGTCGAGTCGAGTCGAGACGAATGTACTGTGTAGACCAAACTCACTCACTCACTCACTCACTCACTGGCCGGTAGGGCAGGCATGGATGGATGGATGGATGGCTGGGCTGGATGTACCTGTTTAGTGCGGCGGCGGTGGGAGTAGCTAGTACCGCAGCTGGTGGTGCTGGTAGCTGGTAGCTGGTACCTGGTACCTAGTGAGTACGACTGCCGAGTACCACCTGGTTAGTGGTATCGTGTCTCGGGATCTAGTAGGATCTCGGGACTTTGCGATGGCGCGCCTGAGGTTCAACGGGCACCCCGGCTGGAAAACGTCTCGGAAGAGGCGAGAGGACGAGAGCTCGAAGTATCGAGAGTCTCGCGACTTGCTTTTAGGGGACTCGGAGGAGACTGTCTGGCTGCTGGGAAAGGGGCAGGGAAGACGACTCCAGAGAACGTGTGGAAAAAGTAGGTCCAAGAGGGATCAGGAAAAGGAAAAATAAAAATAAGAATAAAACCCAGATAGAATCATCAACCCAAAGTAGGAAGGGAGAGAGAAAGAAAGGGAAAAGAAAAAAGAAAATAAGGGAAAGAGAGAAAAAGAGAAAAGAAAAAAAGAAAAAAATAAAAAGGAAAAGGAAAAGGAATAGAAAAAAGGCTATCAGGACGATGGGTGGTCGATTCACATGGGGGGTCGCATGGGGGACTAAGAGGGAAAAGGGAAAGCAAAGAGCAGGTCGCGAGTGGATAATGGAGATTTAGCAGAAAGGAGTAAAGGGCAGGCCCATGGGGACGGAGACAGGCACAGGTACAGGTACAGGGACATACAGGCACAAGTCAGGAACAGGGTCAGCACCGTGGGATGGTCTGGGATGGTCTGGGACAGAGTGCGGGTGATGCTGACGATGACGAAGAGCCAGATTCGATTCAATCTAACCAACCTACGCGGATAATTATTCGCAAAACATGATTACCACACCAATCCGTGCTAGGATTAAGGTACTGTCAGTGCTGAAGAATCGAGCTTGCCTCAGGTGGGCAAGCCTTTACTAACCCCGGCTGAAACACCAGCCTGGGTGTGCTTTACTAACTATTAATATGCGGATGCTAACTACCATTCTCATATCAGCCTACGCTTTCGGGCTGCCCGACTGGCTGTGCAGTGCAGGCGGTGCCCAGGGAGGAAGGTACTACACTCTAGTACTGCTACTCTCTACCACTAATCTCCTCGTGACTGGGTACTCCGGACTCAGTAGTAGATGGCAAGGTAGTACAACTGCCATCTTCCTTACGTATCGGACCATCAGCCACCTGCCTAAAGTTGAGTGCTGGCAGGGAGAGAGCCCTACATAAATCACGGCGCCCCTCGGATTGAAACAGGCCATCAAACTTTGGTGGCATTCGAGAAGATTGGGCAGGGGCAGGGGTCGGGGGTCGTCACATGGAATGTGGCGGTGGGAGGTTAAGGTTGTCGAATCAGGGGGTCTGACTGGGGGGAGGGGGGGCTGTGGTCAGTGGTCGTGGCAGTGGTTCCTGGCAGGCTGGTGCTCTCAAGGTCCCAGGCATCTTATGACTACTTACGGTGGGCTGTCCGGATGGGGACCGGTGAGTGCTGCTGTCTGGATTCTGGAACCAACACCGTCGTCCTATTAGCTACGGAGTCATTAACTACCTACTGCGAACCATGACTCCAATCATACCATCTGGAGCAGACGTGCACCAGCAGAGATCACCCCTGATCCCTCCGAACCCCCCAGTTCCTCAAGTCGACATCCGCCCACCACCGTCCTCGTCTATCATCCCTCGCCCATGGTCCCAGAGGTCTGTGACAGACAGTCTGCTGGAAGGGGTTAAGTGGGGGTGGGGGGGAGTCGCTGGGCGTTGGGGCATTGGAGAATGCGTTCCTCCCTCACCGATCGAGCCTGGGCGGGTGGGTGCCGACTGATAGCTGAGACCTGTCAATCATTTGAAGAACTGGGGAATCTGGAACCCGGCGCTCGTCCACTCAGCATCGGCGAGCGTGGTTTTAAATTTAACTCCTCGTTGGGGCCAGGGTGACGGCCGCTACCCATTGGGCAGCTGCCGGGGGACCCGCTGGGCCCGGCAGCCAACCAGGGCCGGGGGGCCGGGGGGCCCGCGAGGGACTTTCCCTCTGGGCGAAAACCAAGTAAAATGCGAGTCTGGGAGAGAGCTGGGCAGCGCCCAGAAGGGCGTAGCGGCCAGCTGAAACACCTTCTCGAAGACCGGGAGTCGTCATCCCCCCCGGCGGACCCGCCGCTGATTGGCGCACCGCCCCCGGACATGGGGGGCAGGGGCCTGCCCATCGTCATCCGGTCTTGCACATTCCAGCCCTCCCACTGGCGATTTAATGAGGATGGGCATGGCATTACGCTCGATGGGTTTGATTTTTCGCGCGATTCCACTGGGCTAGGTGATATTCAGCAAATGCTCGCTGGGTGCTGTTCTGTCTTTCTCTCCATCTTTCTCCCTCCTCCTGCTCCTCTCCCTCCCCTCTCCCCATCCCCCCCCCATCCCCCCCCAGCCCCAACGGCGTGTCGCACACGCAGCCCAGCCCGCCGCCCGCCGCCCGCCGCACCGCCAGTCCACATCCACACCATCTCATCCACGGGAACCACTTCCACGCTTGGGAGCCTTCGTACCTGCATCCTCCTCCTGCGACCTGCATGTCTTCTGGAAATATACCCCGCCCGCCGTGGCCATAACCAGACACACAAAGAGCCAAGCCTAGATCTGTCAGAACGCGGTGGGACGCGAGGCCAAGGTTTGATTAAGGATCACATCGGCATCCTAGTGTGGCCGGGGGGCTTGGTCTGGCCGACGGCGTCGCCTGTCTGTACGGAGTAAGGGATTGGATTGCGTCGACAGGCGATCACCGCCGACAGCTCTCGACGTCGCATTCGGAGCTACTTCCAGAAGGGTTCGTCCCAGGGCCCTCGCGACGCGGAGGGTGACATGAGGATGCGATGCGCACCACCCCCTTTCGGCCACAGGGTGACCGTCGTGGGCACGCCGGCACTCTACCTGGCGCAGGGCTCGACGGTCGACGGTCTTGCGTACGCAATCGACTGTCCGACTGTCTCGGGAGGCAAGCGATCCGGAGGAAACCACGGCGATGGGGAGTGGTGACATGCATGCAATAATCATGCTGCCCTGCAAACCACCAAACCACCAAACCACTAGCCAACAGCCCCAACCCGGGCAGATTGCTTGGCCTTTCAGGGTCTCGCTGCCTCGCCCGGCTCCATAATTAGCAGCCTCGCTAGCCATGGGTAAACTCGGATCCGACCTTAGTTCGCTATCTAGTCAGGCACGCACAACCACGCAGCTGAAGCTGGACCATTACGTACCCGCACGTCTAGGAAGTATCTGTGGTTGGTAGTTGGGACTCTGGGAGTGGTACAGACCTACTATGGCACTTGCTTGGTACGCGACGGACAACTAAAGAAGTACTCCTACCTATCTATTTTTAGCGGCAGTCCACCCAACACCATCCCATAATCCCACCGCAATCTGTCCCAGGCAACTAACCAGTAACTGGCAGCCAGTCAACCAGCCTGCCATATAGTCGACGAGAAGACATTATCCCGATGCAATCTATCTGGTCGCTGGTCCCGACAGAGTACATTTACTGCATCGAGCAAGCGACAGATAGGCAACCCACGCGTGGACATTGCTGCTTTGGTCGCGGTCTGCGTCGCTAGCGGGATCGGGCAGCCGACGTACGTAAGCGAGGCGGCGACGATCGAGTCTCTCTCTCTCTCTCTCTCTCGTCGCGTCTCGCATTTGATTGAACCTGAAACCGAAACCAGTCAGTCAATCAGTCATTAGTTCGGCTCATTTGCCGCTCAGTTTTTCCTTGAGTCTCTGCCCTACCCTACCGCCGCATCCGCATCCGCATCCGCATCCGCATCCACCATTATCTGATCATCGGCATGACTGCGATTCGCGCCCCTCGGCCCCGTGCTAGGGGAGGGGCAGGAGGCTGGACAGAACAATGGACTTGCAACACGCCACTCGCGTCGGCTCTGGCCTTCTGCCCCTGCTAGTCAGTCTCTCGATAGCACCTTACCCCCCCCCCCCCCCCGGCTCCTGCAGGGACTAATGGACCAGCTACTGTACAAGAGCGTAGTGTCTCCTCGCCTGCAGTTGCAGAGTGCAGTGCAGAGTGCAGTGCAGTCCCCACGAGACAGGCGTGGAAATTCTCCGAGGCGAGTCCTGATCGGAGTTCGAGGTCCTTATTGGCCCACCCTACCAGCTACCAGCTGCAGGAGTGACATCCATGCTCCAACACTCCATCTACAGTGCACTGCACAGTGGACAGTGTACACAACACACAGTGGTTGGTAGTAGTAGTATCAGTACTACCCTACTACACCCTCCGTCCTCGTAGATAATATAATCCCTCCCCCAATCCAGGCTGAATCACACCCAATCAACCCAATCAACCCCCGAGGAATGGCAGATACCGCAAATCGTGCTCATCCGGAGTTGTCGCTCGAAGCAGTAAGCATCTCCTTTGCCCAACCCAAACCGAACCACCGACCGACCGACCGACCGACCAGCTTTGCGTAAGACACACGCTAAATACGCTGAATCCTAGTCATCTACAAACCTTTTATTGCTTGACCGATTGATCATGATTATGGATTGATGGATCAGTTGTTTCTCATCCCCTCCGAAACAGAAACAGAAACAGAACAGAACAGACCCTGATTATTGATTCTGATCCTGATCCTGATCCTGATCGCAATTCCGAGTTCCGAGCTTCTCCCGTATTCTGTTTCAATTTTAGCCCTCTTTACCTACGGTAGTCAGTCGTTTTGATTCGTTTCGTCTCGTATTTATTTATTTTTTTTTTTCCCCCTCATCATTATTTTTTTTGCCGGTCGGTCGAGTCGGTCCCAAGGTTGAAGGTTCTCAAGGGAAGGAAGGGTCCCTATCTAACTATCTAATTCTTTCATAATAACCAGACCAGACAGACCAGTACCACAGGACTGGAGAAGAGGGTACTGGAGCTGGAGATAATCCAAGGTAGGTAGAGATAGTGGGGAGGCTCTCAAATATTAATACCTCCATACATCCGTACATACATTCATACATTCATACAGACAGAAAGACGATGGTGACAAACTTAATGATGGAAATACTCCGGAAAAACGGATTCTTATCGCATCGCCAACGGTCGGGAAAAAGCAAACAGAAGGGAAAAAAAAAAGAAAATTAGACTAACTCATGTCGGTATTTATGTATGTGTTCTGCATGACCATGATACCTGCCTGAGGTTACAACTACTAGTTATACCCTAGGTACTGACTGATAAATATACTATCCAAAAGTGCAGCTACCACTATAGTAATTTATCTATCAGTACTATCCCAGATATCTAGAGGAGACACAGATAGATCATACATAACTATCTACTCCCTCCGTACATCCACAGGACACGTAAGAACCCCAGCATTCCACGACTCGCAGACCAGGTCCAGCATGCCCCGATGAGGCCAAGTGCCCGCCAGTCTGAAACCGGCTAACCCTGGATCCCAGCATCTGGGCACTTTGCAGTCGGCTTAAGTTCTTAGCCTTGGGTTGATGGTCTTGCTTGGCCGTACGGGGAAGTTGTTGTAAACTTGTAATAGTATCGTCGATGGATCGAGGGATGTCTCGGGCGAGTAAGTGTTGCCACTTACTTACTTACTTTCTTGCTTGCTTGCTTTCTTGCTTGCTTTCTTACCTGCTTTCTTACTTGCTTTCTTACTTGCTTTCTTGCCTGCTGGCTGGCTGGCTGGCTGGCTGTCTGTCTCGTGGTGAGGCTTGGCATTGTTTTGTATAGTTTCGCTCTACTCGTAGCCATCTCCTGCTTTGCTTCATACGTGGAATTTTTTCCCCTCTTCCTCTTCTTCTTTTCTTTTCTTTTCTCTCTTTTTTTTTTGTTTTGTGCTTCTGCCCATGCTCGTGTCACATCCCTCCAACTCCAACTCCAGCTGTCTCCATCCGTTGCCTGCTGCCTATTTCTCCCAGCCATGGCCCCATGTCGTGCCACCACCCCTTCCAGCCTTCCTCCGAGGGAACCAACCCCATGACCGATGCCTGACCTGCGAGCCCGTCATCGTATAGATACCACCAGTGGACAGGACCTGGCATCCGTCCGTCCACTGTGCGTCGAGGGAAGGTGCGACTGGCTGTCGTGTGTGTCTGTGTCTGTGTCTGTGTCTGTGTTTGCTGGTGCTGATGGTGCTGATTTTGCTGCTATTGTTGTTGTGTTTCTTCTACTGTTCTAATTCTTGTAAGCATCAATCCGTACATAGGTAGTGAGGGAGTGAGAATGTTCGTCCCACCCAATAATGAACGATTCTGGAATAGAGATATCTCTTCAAGATCCGTCCCAGATCCGATCTTCTTCCCGATTCCATCATCCCCAATCCTCCTGCCCCGAACAGCCCGGCTAACACGGATCGGACAGCCGGTTAACTGCCCTGCCTGCCTTGACCGCTGAAGTTCGGCAGCCGATCCTGCAGACTGCGGCTCGATCGCGACGCAGCACGAGGCTGGATGCGCTATCCTCGAGGTCGCTGTTCTGGTGGCGGACTTGGTTTGCTTGGATTGCAGGACATGGCTTCGAGATGGTCGAGCAAGTCTCGACGCGGTGCTGGTGAATGCCATGAGCGAGACGTGAATCAGTCTGACGTACGCTTGACTCTCACTTTCACAGCAGCACAGGCAGTCTTCCTCTTACCACAATGACACCAACAATCAACAATCCCACGACAGCAGCATGTCGCTCAAGAACCACCACCTCCCGCCGCGAGTCCGCGTCATCCTCGAGCGGCAAGAGAAACTCGACCAGATCCTCGCCTACCTCGACGGCACGCAGTCGACCTTCCTCACCGACAAGGAGCTGCAGGCCCACGACATCGAGGTCGCCTCGCTGGATTTCCTCTCGGGGGAGTCCTCCTCCCCCTTCACCGTCCCGTACTTCTTGCCCACGCAGGATACCGCTGTTTCGAGGCCGCCGATGCCGTGGAGGACGACTGGCCGGCGGTTTTGGCTAATACGCTGGAACCTCATTTGGACCGCTTGCAGGATCGGTATGACTGGGATATACTGTAAGTGTGGGCTCGGGAGACGCGTCACGCATGGAAGGCACGGAACTGGTGTTTGTAGGTATACCTCCACCCAGGGGATGGGCCGGCAGCGTTCCCTCGCTTCCTGCTTCGAGACATATGCGACGCTGCAGATCAGGAATAGCCGGCAGTCCCATCGGACGCTGACGATGGTGATGACCCCGTGCCGGTCAGAAGAGGAGATGGACCGGCTGGGGAAGGAGTACAAAGACGATTGTCGCCCGTCGGTGGCTGAGCTGATCGTCCTGACGAGTTGGATGCGTGGGGGGATGGCGACTCAGCGAACACGCGCAACGAAGGCCTGCCACAAGCGCCATTGGGCTTTGGCCTTTCACGTCGTCGTTCCGGTGCGTTCTCTCGCCGATGGAGGCAGACCGACAACTAACCCTATCCCAGACCCTAGTCATCTCCTTCATCCGACCCGCTCGAGTCCGCGTCCTCCACGCATACTTCGACAACACCCTCAAGGTCCAGGCCACCGAACCTTTCGACTTCGATGCCCCGAACTACCCGGATCTGATGGAATCGTTGGTCCGATGGGCCTACCCGACCGTCCACGGCGACACCCGACTCTCGGGGTCCCTTCCGTCCATCTCCGAAGACGACGAGGATGACGATCCGGCAGGTCAGGAACTGGCTGGAACATTGGGCATCACTTGAGGGATGGGATACCATCTACACCTCCATCTATACTACCGTTTTGCTTTTTTTTTTTTTTTTTTTTTTTAGCTTCAAGTTTCTGTAAACTGGATAGTAGATCAGAACTAAGTAAGAGAATCCCACTTATCTGTTGAAGATCCGTCTCGCATACATCAGGATATAGTATGTAAGTATGTCGCTATTAGTATACTTATATAAGCAAGGTGAGATTACATCTTGAATATAGGTGCATGAAATTAACATTTAGTTCTTTCAATGGTTGTTATGTATATCTAGTTATAGAGAAACAGGTATAGTAAATGAACCAGATTATTTGCGAAAAAAAAAAAGAAAGAAATCAAGATCATTCAAGCTAGACAGATATACAAACAGTACTATATCTCCACTTATATATATATACATATATTTTTTATTTTATTTTCTGTCGCCATGAGCAAGCCTAGGTGATGTATAACTAAAAAAACAAAAAAAAAAAACAAGTCAAACTAACCCCTCAAACCGTCCAGTCCGAAATTCAAATCTACATTTTCCCAACCGTCAACCAAGACATATTCAAAGGTGAAGAATCCATAAATATAGCCATACCCACAGCCACGTCTCCACCCCATGGAACCCCTCCAAACTAAATACACAAAAGAGCCCATCTTAGCTTCGCCACAAGGCTACTAGACTCCAGCACCACGATGAGGTACGGGCTCGTCGCTGGAGACCCGGGCCATAAGGGCCCGAGCACCCGCCGCCACGAGGGCAGGCTGGGATTTGGAAGTCCCGAGTCGACGCCTGTTAAGCAGGGTCAGTTGGGGGGGAGACAGATGCCTGCCTCGCTGATGTCTCGGACGAACCCGCTAGTCGGGAGTCCCTAAAGACTCAAGACAGTGTCGTGTCGCCAAGCCTATTGCTGGGTGGCCCGCTAGTTCGGGGGGAATGGAAGGGAAGGGAGAAAGCAGAATGGAACGCCCAGAGAGAGGTAACCAAAAGGGGAAGGGGGAAGATGGAACGCCCAGAGAGAGGTATCCAAAACCAACCCAAGTCAAAGCCAAGGGTTGCCCAACCGCTAAGTCGGAAGGACACTTCCGCCAACCGGGAATTAACCAGCCACCTGAAGTCGTACGCCCAGGGACTCTTCCAGCTCCAGCCGGCTTTAGATGCAAAGATCTCTTCCGGCTCTGACAGCCAGGATGGGGGGAAGCACGAGACTCCTAGTGGACTAGAAGCTCTTCCCAGGGGGGAGGGGGGGGGTGAGCCAGCAAAGGAGTCCTCACATCTGTGGCGAAACACGAGATGCTCGTCCAAGCCGGTGGTAAGTGCAAGGGGGAAGCCCTGGGCAGCAGTACCCGTTAGCATCTGATAGTGGAGGAAGGGAAGGGGAAACTCATCGAGGGTCGAACGACTGTCGACGGCTGGAAGAGACCAAAGACGAGCATCAAGAGATGAGATGAAACCAAAGCAATGCACGAAGACAAAGGAAAGGTAGTTGGTAGAGGGGGAAGAAAGAAGAAGAGGGAGGGGGGGGGGGAAAGGGAGAAGAAAAGGGCACCCCGTAAGTCTCTCGTCATAGAGTGTCGTAACTTCCGCGTCAGGCACTTCCATTCGCTTCTTCTTTGGGTGACGCACCTCGCTCATGACCACCTCCATGACATCTCCATCACATATGCACTTCGTGAACCTCGAATTACCCCCCCACTAGGGGTGGAGCAGAGCGTGGGAAGGAGGGCGGCATCGCCCATGCCCAGCTGTTTACCCGGACCTTCTCAACTTAGGGCACGCTCAGGCCTGAGTATTGACGCGAAACGGTGCTGGATGTATATATAGTACGAACAAGATAGATACACCCATCCCAAGCCAGGCCTCGACGTATACTACTCTATAAATAGCCAAAGACATCATCACGTCACGGCACCGGTTGAAATTCCGATTGACGCATCCTTTACGCGGATGTCTCCAGTACCCTGCCCACACGGCAATGATGATGAAAGAAGAAAAAAAAGGTATGTATGCACCGCCCGAGCATGATCCAGCCACAGGATTTTTAGATGCCGTACAAGATAAGTGAGACAGTAGAGACTCCGTCCGGCTTGCAGCGAATCCGAACACGACACAAATCGTTCCAAGCATGTGGACACATCTCATACAGGTTGAACCGTCAATCCTCCCACAATCATACACGCATCGAAGAAGTGTCTGTCACTCACTCCCCGGATCGCCATTTTGGTCAAGATTCTCAATCAAGCAGGCCCCACGGTTCCTCCGCATCTTCTCCACCTTTGCCGGCGGGCATTTTTGAAACGTCCAGAAAGGTAGATGGATTCGCTGCGCCACTAGGTTCTCTCTCCTTTGGTTTGGCTTAGGATCGGGATTAAATCGATTGAAGCTCGTTATGTCCACGAGATCAAGTCTATATGTACACCCATCCTATGTCCCCATTGATAGATCCTCGGGACGGTCATGCTTATGGTTAGGCGTGAGGTACCAGCCATGGCGGCTTGAATCGGATGTCTACCGCGATGGAATCAGACCATCGAGGGAGGTGACTGCGAGAGACCCAAAGTTAAGTGGCAGGTGATACCCTCGTGTCTCCGGAGTGGCCAGAATGCTCTGGGAGCCATGCATCCACAATCCAAAGACTGGACTGGCCGATCATCGATGAACCCCAGAGACATCACCAGAGCGGCAGACTTTGCATTTCATTGCCGAGACATTGTCTGCCAAGCTATGCCTCATTCAAAGACAAGGCTGTGACCGTGGCGGCTTGGAATTGATCCCACAACAAGACTTCTGTGCGGATCATCGGGACGTGTCATGCTGAGCCACAAAAGCAAAGCAGCACTTATATATGCCCCAGATAATGCTTCCGTGGTGGGAAACCAGATGGGAAGGTGGTAAATGCTGAACTCCCCCTACGAGGAAGGGTCTCTGATGGAGAAGTTTGGGTAGATTGTACACGCAGAATGTGTGTCTCTGTGTCTCTGTGACATTGTCGGTACCTTCCTGCTCAGTCGTATCACTGTGGACTTGTTGGGGCATTTGATGCCTGTTTTTCGGTGTCGATTTTGTTTCTGTGTCTTTGGACCTGGAGGGGTGGCAGAAGCCCGTCCACCAGTTCCTTTGGGAGTATCCGAATTTGCCGGGACCGTGCCTATGTGGGGATGATTGCGAAGATGCGCATGGAGGCGTTTATACTATAGTCCTTCCGGGACAGACATCATCCCTGGATGGCGTCCCGAGAGAGGATGATTGACAATACGGGATCCCCTGTTGGCCGACTAGGATGGGATTGTGTCTCATGCAGCTCATCCATGACTGACTGAGCGTGCGGGGAGATTGAGCATCCGATCTGCGATCCACCAGAGTCATTCCTGTGTCGAGACGGTCCGAGAGTGCGTTGATGAATTTATAGAACAAGACCATTCGAACAAAGATAATGCGACAAGACGACATAAGCCCCCATTCTTGCTCCCAAGCCCACCCACCACCGTGAGTATTCGATGCAGTGGGCGGCCGTCACAATCTGCACACCAAACGCAGACGACTTTGTATATAAAGCGAGAGCAGATACTCGACGCCGAAGCATCTCTGCACGCGCTTCAGGGTAGCTGAGAGATGCATGCGTATGGGAATAACCCCTAGCCGGGAACACCACACCGTACGGACTCGATCATCCGAAATGCAAGCCAAGATCTCTATTATCAGGGTGCAGCTCGCGACTCTCAGACGCGAAAACAGAGGCCCGCTGGATGCCGTTGCGAGGCAGGAGTAGACACATAATCTTGGGGTCAATCGGGCGGGCATAAAGGCGTCTGCTCCGATCTCGAAGCCTTTCGAACCCATGTACTTGGATCATCATGATCATCATCTGGATCGACAAGGTGACGGTCTAGTCGCATCGCATATATCGTGCCGATACCTTGCCAACCGGACCCCTACGTGCTGCGTTCAGATTCTGCGTTGGGTTTGCTCTGCCCCCCTGCGAAGATACTCGATTACCTTCGCAAGAAAGCGGCCGGCCCTCTGCAGCCTGCAGATGGACGTCACGTCTGTCGAAGCAAAACACATACGCTCCTTTCTCCCTGTGATTAGACAGAGTCATTCATCGCTGCCTCGAAAGCGATCACGGAAGCCAACAAGATCGAAACCAGGCAGCATCTGACGGGGGGGAATAGCACAGTAAACAGCCCCAACGGACAATTCGTAACAGACACCAATGCCGGATTCTATCGGTATCAGGGATCTGAGGACGGGACACTGTGGCTCAAACCAATGTTCGTCTTTCCAATTTCTGTTCCTACGTCCTGTCTTCTCGAAAGAAGGAAGGACGGAATTGCCCGTCTTGTCAGGAAAACACAACGCCAGGAGGTTTGTACCCCACTTCTTGAGGTGCTCATTATCAGAGTCAGAGAGCCCCGAGCTCGCTGTTTGCCGCTGAAATACCTCTCGACCGGAGGGAACCGGCATGTTGAACTTTTGGGCCAATTGTTCGTTGCACGGGGCCCAGCTCGCCTGATGCAGAATCTCAGGCAGTCTGGATGTGTGCAGTCGCAACACCTTCCCCAGGGCAAGACATCTTTCCCGAGAGGAGAGTATACTATACCTCGCGAAGCCGAAGCGAGCTTTCCACTTCCAGCAACGAGACCATGGAATTCACCTAGCGATCTATGTATCACACCAGCAGAGAAATTATCAATGTTCGGAGGTGGCCAACCCCCACAACCCCAACCATATTTCGGTCCTGGGTAGCCGCACACGCGCCCACTGACCGACAACATGGGAACTTGTGGAAAAGCATGGCGGATAGTGTGTGAGTGGACCCGTTTTGAGTTTGTGGCTCGTCAGGGAGAATATCGATTCGATCACTCTTGCTTTCTCCGAGCCCTAAACGACACCCCGACGAAACCGGTCGGTGGCCTTCCGGTTGGATTGGTGCCGATATGGAGGGCAAGGGACTCAGACGCCGGAGATAGCTAGCAGAGAGATGATTCCGATGACCCGAGGGGTTCGATGACAACTGGTTCTTTGGGCGTGGAGCTCATGGATTTCGGAC